ACTCATTGCACCACCAGGGGCTCCATCTGTTTGCTGATGACCCTTTTCTTCCGCTTCCAGGAGAGACGCTTGCGTCGCGTGTTGCTGCCTCCCAGCTGACTTGCCTTGGCTGCCTTGAGCTTATCGCCAAAAGCCGGCAGGAATACGAAGACATTGCCGTCAAGCTGGGAACCGATTTGGAATAGTAAGTGAAAGGTGTCTCTAGATCATGGGTCCTCAAACTAAGGCCCGGGGGGCGGATATGGCCCTCCAAGGTCATTTACCCGGCCCTCGCTCAGGGTCAACCTAAGTCTGAAATGACTTGAAAGCACACAACAACAACAATCCTATCTCATCAGCCAAAAGCAGGCCCACACTTCCCATTGAAATACTAATAAGTTTATATTTGTTAAAATTGTTCTTCATTTTAATTATTGTATTGTCTTAAGTGTTTTTTGCACTACAAATAAGATATGTGCAGTGTGCATAGGAATTAATTCATTTTTTTTTCAAATTATAATCTGGCCCTCCAACAGTTTGAGGGACTGTGACCTGGCCCTCTCTTTAAAAAGTTTGAGGACCCCTGCTCTAGATGTTGGGGTGGGTCAAGAGAAACCTTAAATAGCCCCTCTCGGGATCTTTGGGAGAATCTAATGGGATGTCGCTGTGTTTCCTGCAGCCTGAAGAAAATCCGCGGTAAGGTCTGGAAGCAGAGGATATCCAGCCCACTCTTCAACACCAAGCAGTACACAATGGAGTTGGAGCGGCTTTACTTGCAGATGTGGGAGCGCTTCTCGGCTGGCAGCAAACCCGACCACATTATTAAGGCCATAGAGAGCGGCGGCGAGTCGGCCTAAGAAGCGGGAGCGGTGTGAGGGCCCTTTTGGGAGGCCTTCCTGACTTCTGGACCAAGGCCAACGGAAGCTGCAGACTCCATCTCTGCCTGGTCCTTTGTCGTGGGTGCAATCCCTTTGCAGTCGGCTAAGAGCACCGCCGGACCCCTCCTTCCTCTCCTGCATGTCGGAGGGACGAGGAACGCTGCTGCGTCTCCCTGTTTCATGAGGGGAAGGAAAAGGGGGGCATCTTGGCCAGGCAATAGTGCTTTCATGGATTGATGATTCAGTTTTCCTGTGAGTTAGGTTTCTCTCTTCCTTTGTGGATCTGGAATCGGAGCTTTGAAAAAAAGATCCTTGGCTTTCAGGTTGTTCCTGTGGGGTCTTCCCCCGGGGGTGCGCATTGCCCCTCCCAAGTGGAAAGGCCTTTCTGCTGGGAGGGAAGCTTCTCTTTATGGGTTTTATAAACCGACATCGGCTCCATTCACGTCCGACTCCCTTCTTGGAGGGACTTTTCTGTGCTGTGTTGGTTTAGGTGAGGATTTCTTTGCGAAACAAAGCCTTCCTCCTTCAGTTCACTTCGCGTTGGCACATCTCTGTAGAAAAAAAGGGCAATTCGATTTAAGAAACGCAAAGCTTCCCTCTCCCTGAAACGTTTGGAGAGAATACAACCCAGTGCCAAACGCGTATCCTTCAGGAACAACGGTGTCAATTATGTATGGAGACACCAGCCAAGCCGCTGCGGCAGACTTTAGCAATGAGAATAATTAATAATAAAGCATTGGTTTGCCTAGGTTGTGGCCCCTTGGACCCGTCTCACCGCCCCTCCTTTTCAAGGCCATTCTGAGCTGGGCTGCTTGGCCTCTTCCTGGGCCCTTTTAGGCTCTTTTTAAAATGCAGCTCTTCTGTTTGCTTCAACAAAACTCCCAGGTAAGTATGGATTCTCTTTTCAGCAACTGCCAAGAGTTTGAAACATTGAATATTATTTTGGGGGTACAGCCTCTGGAGGTGTCTGTTTGGGCAGAAGGCTTGGCACCCCATTTGAATGACTTTGCCACGCTTTGAACCAAGCGGTGAAGGAGAGATTTATAGAGCGAATGAGGAAGACGTTGCTTTCCAGAGATTTTTGTCTGCAGGCTGAAAGCAAAGGGGATCATTGCTTTTGCTGCACATGGAGGCTTGTCACTCCTCGAGAATGCATTTCCTACTCCAGGTAGTGGGTGTCAGACACTCTTGAATAGTCTCTGGATTCATTATGCCAAGGTCTGCCAGAGTTTTAAAATGATTCTGGCCCTGACCAGATGGAGTTCAAACCCTTATTCCGTTTCAGCCCATGTGCAGCTGCAAGAATCTGGGACCTCCGAAGCCCACCTTTTATTGAGATTATTATACAGACGGATGGATACACAGACACTTGGGGTCTTTTGAGTTTTTTCCCTGTTAGGAGTGGTGTATGTCCTTGCCAGTGTGGTTTGAAAGGCCAGAGGGGACTCCTTTCCTGTTGAGTGTTTTCCTTCTGCTTGCTCACTGTAACAGCTTTGGTCCCCAGATAAAAGTGTCTGATAAATACAGATGAAAATCACACTGCTGCTTATGTCCTGGCTTTCTTTGTTCCCTCAAGTCCTGCCTGTCTCCATTGGTTGTAGATGCGTATGGGCCCTGCCTTGCTGGAGAGGGGAGGGATGTTGGAGTGGGAAAGTACAAGGCGGCAGTGCAAGGGTTCCTGAAGCCAGTGAACCCAAGGACCTTGGCTGAGGCTTAACTAAGAAGATCTTGCAGGGATCAGTTTTGAGATTGCAAATAAAATCAGGGTGTGCAAGTACAGGGTGAGGCAGCATAACTTCCTTTTTTAAAATGCGCACCATTCAGTCGGTTGAAGACGTAGCGGAGCGCTAGTGGTCTCGTTCGAGAGGCGGGAGTATAAAGTTTTGTCCTGACACAGTTCAGTCGCCATCATGCGTTGGAACAGTGAGGAGCGTGCTTTTGCCGTTGAGGCCTACTTTTCGAGCGGATTGGGAGTGGCCGGCCCGCTCTCCAGATTTGGCCCCTTGTGATTTTTTTCTATGGGGTTTTTTGAAATCCCGTGTTTTTGTGAACCGTCCAAGGACCCTATAAGATTTGAAGACCAACATCCAGGAAGAAATTGCCAGCATAACGCCTGCTATGCTGGCAAGAGTCATGACAAACGCCAGAAATTGTTTTACTCAGTGAGAATGGAGGATGTCACCTACCTAATTTGATCATCAAAACTACGTAATATAAAACTAGGTATGTGCCTACATTATAAAAAAATCTGATTCATACAATGGGTTTTATTAAGTTTTGAAAAAAGGAAGTTATGCTGCCTCACCCTGTAGGTTTCTCAACATTTGGACTGTTTGCATAGGTCAGGGTGGACTAGTGCCTAAAAGGCAACATAATACCCATATATGGCTGTTATCTTCCTTAAAGGTAAAAGCTTTTCCTGACAATAAGTCTAGTCATGTCCAACTCTAGGGGGGTGCTCATTACCGTTTCTAAGCTGAAGAGCTGGCATTATCTGTAGACATCTCCAAAGTCATGTGGCCTGCATAACTGCATGGAATATAGTTGCCTTCCTGCCAAGGTGGTACCTATTGATCTACTCACATTTGTATGTTTTCAAACTGTTAGGCTGACTGGAAGCTCACGCCGCTCCCCAGATTTGAACCACAAACCTTTTGGTCAGCAAGTTCAGCAGCTCGGCGGTTTAACCCACCGCCATGGGGGAGATCTTTCTTAGGCAACCAAAATACACAAAACAAGCACCTAAAGTTCCACAGGCTTCTTTAATATGCAGATGTAGCAAAATTGGGAGCATATGATGTGGCTCAGTTGGATTAATGGGGTCTCCTTGTGGACAGAGGACATTTATTTCCTTTTTTGCCATTGCGACTTAAAGGTTGGCTCCGTAAGGGAAATGGCTCCTCTAGGGATCTAGAGCCTCCTTTCTCAGAAAACACTGAATTTCTCCAGAAGTCTCATGTGTTCCATTTTGTCTCCTGCATATGTCATCAGCTGGGGACTCTGCTCTGGGCCAGAGTGAAGAGAGAGGGGGGTAGAATACAGCTCCATTTTGTCTCCTGTGCTATTCTAATAATAATATATAATATATTGTATATACATATTTATAATGTAATATAATATTATAATTATATATTTATATATTACATGTAATATTACTAATAATATTACAATATAATGATATAGTACAATGTAGTAATATTTAATATTGATATTGTTCTATGCTAACAATATAATATATGGTATGTATATATATCTTGTAAGCCACTCTGAGTCCCCTTTGGGGTGAGAAGGGCAGCACATAAATATTGTAAATATAAATAAAAATGTAATGTTCGTTTGTGGAATTAACAGAACTCAAAAACCTCGATGAATTTACACCAAATTTGGACACAAGACACCTCTTAGGCCAACGAGTGACCATCACTCATAAAAACACTGAAAAACAGCAGAAGGGACTTAAAAAGCCAAAAAAAAAAAAAACCATTACAACGCATGCGCAAAACCACACACATATATATACACAAACACACATATACACACATGCATATACACAAAAACGGAAGGAGAGAAAGAGAGGGAAAGGAGAGAAGGAAGGAAAAAAGAGGGAAGGAAGGAGAGAAGGAGGGAGAAGGAAAGGTAGAGAAGAAGGAAAAAAGGGAGAGAAGGGGAGGAGGGAAGGAGAGGAGGAAGGAAAAAGGGAGAAGGAAGGAAGGGGAGAAGAAGGGAAGGAGAGAAGGAAGAAAAAAGGGTAGAGAAGGAAGGAGGAGGAGAGAAGGGAAAGGAGAGAAAGAGGGAAGGAGAGAGGAAGGAAAGGAGAAGGAAGGAAGGGGAGAGAAGGGAAGGAGAGAAGGAAGGAAAGAAGGAAGGAGAAGGAGAGGAGGGAAAAAGGGTAGAGAAGGAAGGAGGGAGGGAAGGAGAGGAGGAAGGAAAAAGGAGAGAAGGAAGAAGGGAAGGAGAGGAGGAAGGAAAAAAGGGTAGAGAAGGAAGGGGAGAAGAAGGGAAGAAGAGAAGGAAGGAAAAAGGTAGAGAAGGAAGGAGAGGAGGGCGAGAAGAAGGGAAGGAGAGAAGGAAGGAAAAAAGGGTAGAGAAGGAAGGAGAGGAGGAGGGAGAGAGGGAAAGAAGGAAGGAGAGGAAGGAAGGAGAGAGGAAGGAAAGAAAGAAGGGTAGAGAAGGAAGGAGAGAAAGAAGGAAAGAAAGAAGGGTAGAGAAGGAAGGAAGGAGGGAAAGAAAGAGGGAAAGGAGGGAAGGAGAGAAAGATAGAGAAGGAAGGAGGGAAAGAAGGGAAGGAGAGAAAGAAGGAAAGAAAGAAGGGTAGAGAAGGAAGGAAGGAGGGAAAGAAAGAGGGAAAGGAGGGAAGGAGAGAAAGATAGAGAAGGAAGGAGGGAAAGAAGGGAAGGAGAGAAAAAAAAGGTAGAGAGGAAGGAAAGAGGGAAGGAGAGATGGAAGGAAAGAAAGAAGGGTAGAGAAGGAAGGAGAGAAGGAGATAAGGAAAGAAGGGTAGAGAAGGAGGGAGAGGAAGAGGGGAGAAAGGGAAAGAAGGAGGGAAGGAGAGAGGAAAGGAAAAAAGGAGAGAAGGAAGGGAGGGAAAGAAGGGAAAAAAGGATAGAGAAGGAAGGAGGGGGAGATGAAATAAAAATGAAAAGAGGGAAGGAAGGAGAGAAGGAATGAAAGAGAAAGAGGGAGGGAAGAAGGAAGGAAAGAGACAAGGAAGGATGGAACCAAAGAGCAAAGGAAGCGAGAAAAGAAACAGGTAGAGAAGAAAGAAAGGAGAAGGGAAAGAAAAAGAGGGAAGAAAGGAAAGAGGGAGGGAAAGTTGACTAGGGTACAGCTAGTAAATAAATAAATGTGTTTACATCTGGGAAACCTTTTGGCTGCTTTTGAAGCACATCTCAGCCAGTTTCAAAGAAAAGGCTTCAATTAATTCAGTGTTGATTCCTACCCAACCTTTCCAAAACCTCCATCTCCATCCTGTTTCCTCCTCTACCCCTGTGTGTCCATCTCTTGGTTCCTTCCTCCTTGGGTTGGCCACGCCCACCTTGGCTCTTGCAACCAATGAGTGTGCAGTATCTTCCGAGAACCGCCCACTTCGCCGCACAATCCATCCAATGGCTTCCTCGGATCTCATAGCGGGAGGGAGGGAATAAGCGGTTGCCACGGTAGTGGTGCCACGGATTTAGCCAATGGCCGCTCGCAGATTTGCGAGGCTCCGCCCCTCTTTCAGTTGTGGCTGACAGACGGAGGAGGAGGAGGAATGGTAAAATTTTCCCCAGCCTTTCTCTCTCTATGGGGGACTCAAGGCCATAAAATAGAAAGCAATACAACTCAAAACAATCAATGTAGGGCAAATTTGAATATTGGTGGGATGGGGGGAGGATTGATTTTGTCATTTGGGAGTTGTAGTTGCTGGGATTTATAGTTCACCTACAATCAAAGTGCATTCTGAACCCCACCAACTATAGAATTAGGCCAAACTTAGCACACAGAACTCCCATGCCCAACAGAAAATACTGGGAGGGTTTGGTGGGCATTAATCTTGAGTTTGGGAGTTGTAGTTCACCTACATCCAGAGAGCACTGTGGACTCAAACAATGATGGATCTGGACCAAACTTGGCACGAAATACTCAATATGCCCAAATGTGAACACTGGTGGAGTTTGGGGGAAATAGACCTTGACATTTGGGAGTTGTTGCTGGGATTTAAAGTTCACCTACAATCCAAGACCATTTTGAACTCCACAACAATGGAATTGAACCAACACACAGAACTCCCATGACCAACAGAAAATACTGGAAGGGTTTGGTGGGCATTGACCTTGAGTTTTGGAGTTGTAGTTCACCTACATCCAGAGAGCACTGTGGACTCAAACAATGATGGATCTGGACCAATCTCTACACGAATACTCAATAATATGTCCAAATGTGAACACTGGTGGAGTTTGCAGAAAATAGATTTAACAGCCTCTGTTCTAACAGCCTCTGTTAGAAAATAGGTCTAACATCAACTACATTTGGAAGTTGTAGTTGCTGGACTTTATAGTTCACCTACAATCAAAGAGTATTCTGAACTCCACTAACTATGGAATCGAACTAAACTTGGCACATAGAACTCCCATGACCAACAGAAAATACTGGAAGGGTTTGGCAGGCATTGACCTTGAGTTTTGGAGTTGTAGTTCACCTACATCCAGAGAGCACTGTGGACTCAAACAATGATGGATCTGGACCAAACTTGGCACAAATACTCAATATGCCCAAATGTGAACACTGGTGGAGTTTGGGGGAGAATAGATATTGACATTTGGGAGTTGTAGTTACTGGGAATCAAAGAGCATTCTGAATCCCACGATATAATTGGGCCAAACTTCCCAAACAGAACCCTCATGACCAACAGAAAATACAGTGTTTCTTGATGGTCTTTGGCGACCCCTCTGACACCTGCTTGCGACCCCCCTAGGGGTCCCGACCCCCAGGTTGAGAACCACTGCCCTAAAGGATTTCATGCAAACAAGCATAGAAAGACAAAGGGAATTCAGCTTCAGAAAGGGGTCTGAAGCTGTTAGGAATAGTGGGAGTTGAAGTCCAAAACACCTGGAGGGCCCAAATTGGCTCATGCCTGGACTAGATAGTGTTGCTACAACCGGGACCCTGGGTGTCACAAACAGATGAAATCTGGACAGGCTCAAGAGGCAAGCAGCACACTCCCAGGCTCCTGGGGCTTCCCCAGTGGGTTTCCAAAGGGCCTCCATGCCTCAACCATGGTGTGTTGGGCCTTTGTCTTGCTAGGCTTCATATAAAGCTGGGAGACTCATCGGCGGGCCCTCCACCAGAAGGAGGAGAATGGGCCCGAAGCTGGAGCTCAGCACTATGCACAAGCAGCAGATGCGCGAAGCCTTCGACCTGCTGGATCTGGGCGGCACCGGAACCATCGAGGTCAAGGACCTGAAGGTGAGTCCCTTTCGCGGTCCCCTCCCCAATGTCTCCAAGGCTTAAGGACTAGTTCCATCTTGTCTCCTGCAAATGGGGACCCCTCTCTCAGCACCAACTGCCACTCTGGGTCAGAGTGAAAAGAGAGGGGGCCAGAAGATAGTTCCACCTTGTCTCCTGTGCTATTCTAATAATATAATATAATATAATATAATGTAATATAATATATTGTATATACATCTAATATTTATAATATTACAATGTAATGCAATATAATACTAATAATAATATGATATTATAATTATATATTTATATTACATGTAATATTACTAATAATAATACAATATAATGGTATAGTACAATATAGTAATATTTAATACTGATATTGTACTATGCTAATAACATAATATATTGTATGTATATATATCTTGTAAGCCGCTCTGAGTCCCCTTCGGGGTGAGAAGGGTGGCATATAAATGTTGTAAATAAATGTATATTATGGCATATAAGACTACTTTTTAACCCAAGAAAATCTTCTCAAAAGTCAGGGGTCGTCTTATACGCAGGTGTAGTCTTATGCATGGGAGTCGTCTTAACTCTATATTTTAACTGGAAAAGTTGGGGGTCGTCTTATACGCCCAGTCGTCTTATATGCCGGAATATACGGTAAATAAATAAATAAATAGTGTTGGGGTGCACTGCTGCGTCCCTCTGTCATGAATACTTTCTGAAACTTAAACATGGTCTTTAATCTGTTTTCAAAGGGACAAAATATCATAGAAAGGAGTCACAGACCGTTTCCCAAGAGCCGAGGTTCTCCTGAACTCCGCCCCGTGTCACAGAAGGGGTCGGTTTCCCTCCAGCCCTTGGCTTTCTGCTGCCTGAGGCTGATCCTGAAGTCGAACATGACCCCCCCCCCAAAGATAGTAACTTATAGTTTTGCTAAGGACAAGGACACCAGACTGGATAATAAGGGTTAAGCCTTGGTCAATTTGCCAAGACACTAACAACAACAAGGACCCTTCCCATGTTAGTGTGTACATTTAATCAAGGTTTTATGCCCTAGGTTTCATATATGGCAGAAGGTAACACATTTATTACTGAGAAACCACCTCCCTTTACACTTATGCACTCTCTTGAACTTCTATGGGGCTCTGGTGGGAGGGATAAGTGGGTATATTTTCTGTATTGTGATTTCTATATTTTCATATTTTCTCCCCGTGTGTCTGACCTTTTCCTGACCCTTTTGGCCCATTCCCTTTTTGGAAAAAATGTATATAAATTTAGGGAAGCCGCCCTGGTCCTGGAAAGGAAAGGAATTACCAGTTGAAAGAACCTTTATCAAAAGACACTATTTGCATGGACCATAACAAAGGTTCGTGACCTCTGGCATCGGAGGTTTTGGCCACCAGAGGAAATGGCCACTTGGCAACTTTGATTATATCTCAAATAGAACAAAGGAGGGCCTTCGGAAAGCCATGCCTTGTCCTGATCTGTCACTCATTCAGTCTCTCTCACTAAGGCATCCACCTAAGTTTCCCCCATTGTCCCTGTGTCTCAGCCTGGAAGAAAATCCGGATTGTGGCGATATCGCCAGATATCGATGTTTATTGCAGCCATTCAGAACAATAGTAAGGCTCGCTTGAAGGCCTTTAGGACTCGACAGCCCCTTGGAAATCTCCTGTATTTCCATAATCCACTCAAGAATGCATTGTATTCCCTTGTCCCGCCTCCCTCTCTCCTGATTCGCTAAAGCACCAAGGCGGCAGATGCCCTCTGATTGGCCCAGGTGCGCAGCAGAAGCCTTGTGATTGGCCCAGGCGCTCAAGAGGCGGCCGAGCCTCCTCCCAGCTGTTGAAGCGCCAGCCAATCACCTTCAAGCCGGGCAGAGGGCGGGGAGCGGGAGATTCAAACCAGACAACTCTGTTTTTCTATAAAAATGGCTTTTATTTGTACTCATGCATGCTTAGCTTGGCGAAATATTGCTGCTCTGCATCCTTTTCAGCTGAATCGCTAATAAATCATCTCCGTGTGTTGCAACCCAGAGCAAGAAACGAGGCCCCAAGATAACTATCCACCACACTTGACTGTGGAAAAACAATCCTTTTTTATTGATGAAAAATGGTTACAAAATAAAGGAAAAATGCGAAGTCAAAAGCCACAGCAAAATCAGCAAACCTGAATGTCCATGAACAAGATCAAAACCCAAAATACTGGAACCTGTTAGCTAACCTGTCCACTAACCATACTTGATGTCCTAGAAATTTTTCAAGACGATGGCCAAGGAAACCGGGAGAACTGCCAAGGTCCCCATCAATCTGAAACGATGCCTGAATTGAGAAAGTCAGCCCGGCGGAAGGCACTTAAAGCCGAGGAATTGGTTCCGTGATACGCCTCCCTGCTTTGAAGCCTTTGTTTGTTTTTCTTTTAATCTGGAAGACCTTCGCAAGCTGAGTGATATACTCCTGTCTTGCCAGATCTGGCCCCTTCTATTCTCATTAGAGTTCCCAGGTGCAGAAGGGAGTGAAAGGTCATCGCTTCCCTCTGAAACATTCTCATGAACACTGGTACTTTCATTTTCCAAATCTACAGAAGTTTCTTCCTCACTAATTTCAGGAGCATTGACATCAAGAAGTACATTTTCATTAGCATCAGGAAGTACATTTCATTAGCATCAGTAAATATATTTTCATTAGCATCAGGAGGTACAGAGAATCAGGTTCAAACTCAGGCTGAACCCCAACACCGTGGTGCTTTCTTCAACCTTGGTGAGATTCTTTTTGGGAACCTAGGGAAAAAATCACTTAAGATTGGGCTTCTCTTTGCTCACCATTGTAGCGATCCCTCTTGGTGGGCCGCAGGGTCTCTCTCAGGGCCAGACCCTTTTAAATTCCTCCCTGATTTCAATCCCTGCCTCTTTTTCCTTTTGCAAAGGTGTCCATCAGGGCCCTGGGGTTTGAGCCGACAAAGGAAGAGCTCCGGAGAATTGCTCTTGATGTGGACAAGGAGGGCTCCGGGAAGGTTGGCTTTGACGCCTTTTACTCAGTGATGACTCGGAAGATGGTAAGCAGCTCATTTTCCTTACAAAAGCTCAATAGGGATGCAGCTGCAGCGTAGAGCAGGCCTGCACAACACATGGTCCGGAATTCGGAAGCGGCCCCCACAAGGCTTTGATGTGGCCCTCAGAAGCTCTGTGTCTGAGCCTTAGAGAGGGAGGCGTATGCAGTGATGCAGCAGAGGAGCCATCGGAGCCCACCATTCCCTCCTCCTGTGCATTTCCTTTGTGTGTGCACCAAAGTTACCAAACTCACCTGTGACAAAGGGGGGCTCAACAATAGAGCAGGTCAGGAGGACGGAAGGGCTAGTCTCATTTGGAAACATGACTTGGAAATATTGTAGGATGGAGAAGTGGGGAGTGGGATGACATTTTAAGGGGCTTCTAACATTTCTGAGGCCCCAGGTTATGTTTGGACTATGATTACAGGATTAGGTGCAAAGTTTTAACCATTTTTAAATTGTATTTATATGCTTTATTGTTGCATCCCAGTTCAGGAAATGAGACCATAAGATTAAATCCACCACACTGGACTGTGGGGAAAAAACAATCCTCTTTATTGATAAAAAATGGTTACAAAAGAAAGGTAAATGCAAAGTCAAAATGCCATAGTAGAAACACAGCAGTCAGAAAAACTCTGAACTTGAGCAAAATTCCAAAAGACACAATACAGAAACCAGGAACCTGTTAGCATCACTAACTGTACTTGAAAACTAGAAACCTCTGGGAATGCAGGCCATGGAACACAGGAAATCTGCCAAGATACTGCCTCAGTCTTAAACGTTGCTTGATCTGGCTAGACAGTCGGGAAGAGGCCCCTTATACTAAAGAAACTATTTCTTGAAACGCCTCCAGACTTTGAAGCCTCCCTCTCCCGTAATCTATTTGACCTTCGTAGAAACTGCGACTCACTCCAGTTTTTCCAAATCTGTTCTCTTCGGTGCTCATTAGCAACCCCAGGTGTGAGTCCCTCTGGAGAGCTATCACTGCTTGATTCCAAAACATTCTCATCAGGAAGTTCAGTTTCACTTTCCCCGCCACTGGCCTCATAATCAACAGATTCAACCCCATCAGGGAAAGATACATGTTCAGAGGCCTGTTCAGTTGCATCAAGAAATATAATTAAAGAATCAGGTTCAGGTTCTGGTTCGCACGGAGACTGAACCCCAACATTTATATTAATTTTATACTTTGACGTGTTGTGTATTTGTATACTTTTTTTATGTTTAATGTGCCATTGAATAACTGGAGGCCGCTCTGAGTCTCCTCCGGGGTGAGATAGAGCGGGGTATAGAATAATAGAATCATAGAGTTGGAAGAGACCTCGTGGGCCATTCAGTCCAACCCCTGCTAAGAAGTTGGAAAATTGCATTCAAAGCCCCCCTGACAGATGACCACCCAACTGTAGAAATACAGTAAATAAATAAATAAATAAAATGTTGAAACTTAGCATTAGATTGCATTGTCAAAAGCTTTCATGACCAGAATTTTTCAGGCTATCTGGCCATGTTCCGGAAGCATTCTGTCCTGACATTTCGCTTGACTCTATGGCAGGCATCCTCGGAGGTTGTGAGGTCTGTTGGAAACTAGAAAAATGGGTTTCTATATCTGTGGAATGTCCAGGGTGGGAGAGAAAACTCTTTTCTGTTCGACGAAAGTGTGAAGATTGCAATTGGCCATCTTGATTAGCATTTAATGGCCTTGCAGTTTCAAGGTGTGGCTTCTTACTGCCCAGGGGAATCCTCTGGAGCAATGATTCTGACCCTTTTTTCCAGTGCGAGACCGATTCGGACGAGGAGATCCTCAAGTCCTTCAAGCTCTTTGAGGACCCGGAGAGTGGCAAGGTGTCCTTCAAGGGCCTCAAGCGCATTGCCGATGAGATCGGGGCAGAGCTGACCGATGAGGAGCTCCAGGCAAGTTCGTACACGGCTGGCTTCTTTTGAGAGTGGGACCCATCCTCCTCGTTCTTGGGGCTGATGGGTTGTGGGGTCCTTCTGGTGAAATGGGGAGACATGGCTGAAAACGAATGGCCTCCAACACTTCTGTTCAGCTAGTTCAGGGCCACCTTCTCTGAAGAATGATCCTCTTCTCTGGGCCACCTTCTCTGGGGAAGGATCCTCTTCTCTGTCCTTTTAAATTTTTATTTTAAATTTTTATTTTGAGTGTAAAAGAAAGCATGCGGGGTGAAAAAAGAAAAAAATAGAACCAGGCTGTGGTGCAGCTAGTTAGTAGCCAGCTGCATTAAATCACTACTCACTGAGAGGTCATGAGTTCGAAGACAGCCCGGGTTGGAGTGAGCTCCCGACCATTAATAGTCTAGCTTGCTGTTGACCTATGCAGTCCGAAAGATAGTTGCATCTGTCAAGTAGGGAATTTAGATTCCGCTTTATGCGGGGAGGCTAATTTAACTAATTTACGACACCATAAAAAAATCTTCCAGAGAAAGGAACCTCTTCTCTGTCCTTTTAAAAATTTATTTAAATTTTTTATTTTGAATGAAAAAGAAAAGCATACAGGCGTGAAAAAAGAAAAAAATAGAACCAGGCTGTGGTGCAGCTAGTTAGTAGCCAGCTGCATTAAATCACTACTGACAGAGAGGTCATGAGTTCGAAGACAACCCGGGTCGGAGTGAGCTCCCGACCATTAATAGTCTAGCTTGCTGTTGACCTATGCAGTCCGAAATATAGTTGCATCTGTCAAGTAGGAAATTTAGATACCGCTTTATGTGGGAAGGCTAATTTAACTAATTTACGACACCATAAAAAATCTTCCAGCAGTGTGCATAAGAATGAGGAAATATTCCATCAAGGACTTGGTGTCACAATTCATTACAATTCATAACAATAGCAATATTACAGCTATGAAGTAGCAATGAAAATAACGTCATGGTTGGGGGGGTCACCCCAACATGAGGAAGTGTATTAAGGGGTCGCAGCATTAGGAAGGTTGAGAACCACTGCAACACCACCCTGGCTGGAGTTAGACTTGAAAAAATGTCCCTGTTTTGACTTACAAACACAACGAACCTAAGAACAAACCCTACAGGACCTCTCTTGTTTGTAACTTGGGGACTGCCTGTACATTGTTGAGGGTTACTTGGGGGATTGGAAGGATGGGGCTTTAGGACCCTGTGCAGCTCATAGTCCAGCTTCATAATTTGAGTTCCTTTCTCTTTTGGGCCCCTCAGGAGATGATTGATGAAGCCGACCTGGACAAGGACGGACTGGTCAACGAACAGGAGTTTCTGAGGATCATGAAGAGGACATGAGTGCCCCTCTCCGTCCCTAAGAGGCCCTTCGCTGCTTCGATCCATCCTGATTCTTCAAAGAGGTCAAGGAGAAGGACTGGCCCTCCATTCAAAATGTTAGGAAGTGAAAAGATGTGAAGCTCAGGTGGTGTTTCCAACTCTTTCGCTGCAGGAACATTAAAAGTGCTTTCCATTCTTTCAGAGTAGTTTTTCCGTGGGGATCTTTTGTGCTCAAACACATTTTCTTCCTCAAGCAAAGATAAAACCATGGACCTTAATTGTGCAGTACTTACATTCATTCATTTAATGCACACAGACATTCCATTCAGGGAACTCCGAAGCTCTGCTTAACTGCTGGAGGCACGGTCTGGTAGCCCGAGGCCCATTCCCTCATAGCCCTATCTTGATCTTTCAAGCCAGGTCTGGATGGGTGTCTGTCGGGAGGGTTTGGATTCTGTCTCCCTGCCTGGCAGAAGGGGGTTGGATTAGATGGCCTTTGGGGGCTCCCTTCCAATTCTAGGATTAATAGAATCATAGACTCATAGAGTTGGATGAGACTACACCAGCTATCTAGTCCAGTGGTTCCCAACTTTTTTTTGACCAGGGGCCACTTGACCAGGGACCACTCTCCGACATTAGTCCCAAAACGGGTTACAAATCATTTTTTTGGTAAACTTTAGATTCAGTTTGGTTATTTGGGGTGCTCATTCAGAAAATTGCATTGGCTAGACCACATCAGCTCTACTTTCTGATACAGAACATATGCCATCCAGTAGTCACCATCTGCTTGCCTACAGAAAATAGTATTTAATAAGTCTCAACATTATAAGAGGGTTTTGCGAGACCAGTTGCTCTTGTTGCAACAGTGTAGTAACAGTGAAGGCGTGGACCATATCTTAGTTCTTGCGGACCACTAGTGTTCCACGGACCACAGGTTGGGAACCAATGGACTAGATGGTCTTTGTGGGTCTCTTCCTTTTCCCTTATCCTTCCCTTAAAAGGGGGTGAGGCTGGATGGTCTTTGTGGGGACTAGATAGTCGCTCTCGTTGCAACGGTGTAGTAACAGTGAGGCTGTGGACCGTATTTTAGGTCTTGCAGACCACTGGTGTTCCATGGATCCCAGGTTCGGAAACAATGGATTAGATGGTCTTTGTGGGTCCCTTCCTTTTCCCTTATCCTTCCGTTAAAAGGGGATCAGACTAGATGGTCTTTGAGGGTCCTTTTCCCTTATCCTTCCCTGAAAAGGGGGTCAGACTAGATGGTCTTTGAGGGTCCTTTTCCCTGATCCTTCCCTGAAAAGGGGGTCAGACTACATGGTCTTTGAGGGACCCTTTCTTTTTCCTGATCCTTTCCTAAAAGGGGGTCAGACTAGATGCACTTGTAGGGTCCTTTGCTTTTCCCTGATACTTCCTTGAAAAGGAGGTCAGACTAGATGGTCTTTGAGGGTCCCTTCCTTTCCCCTGATCCTTTCCTAAAAGGGAGTCAGACTAGATGCACTTGAAGGGTCCCTTCCTTTTCCCTGATCCTTCCCTTAAAAGGGGGTCAGGCTAGATGGTCTTTGAGGGTCCCTTCCTTTTCCCTGATCCTTTCCTAAAAGGGGGTCAGGCTAGATGGTCTTTGAAGGTCCCTTTTCCCTTATCCTTCCCTTAAAAGGGGGTCAGACTAGATGCACTTGGAGGGTCCCTTCCTTTTCCCTCACCCTTCCCTTAAAAGGGAGTGAGACTAGATGGTCTTTGTGGGTCAGACTAGATGGTTGCTCTAGTTTCAACGGTGTAGTAACAGTGAGGCTGTGGACCAGATTTTAGTTCTTGAGACCCCTTGATCTAATCCAACTCCCTTCTACTGTGTAGGAAAAACACATTCAAAGCCCTCTTGCCAGATGGCCATCCAGCCTCTGTTTAAATGCCCCCGTCAGACTCCAAGGCAGAAAGTTCCACTGTGGAAGAGCTCTTCTTATGATCAGGAGGTTCTTCCTAACAATGTTCAGGTGGAATCTCCTTTTCTCTCATTCGAACCCATTCTCCATTGAATCCGAGTCTCCAGGGAAGCAGAAAGGAAGCCCTGCTCCCTCCTCCTTGTGACATCATTTCACATATTTATACATGGCTATTATGTCTCCGGAGCTAACGGTACTCCATGCAGTTATGTTGGCCACATGACCTTGGAGGTGTCTATGGACAACGCCGACTCTTCGGCTTGGAAATGGAGATGAGCACCACACCCCAGAGTCAGACATGACTGGACTTAATATCTGGGGACAACCTTTACCTATTATGTCTCCTCTCAACCTCCTCTTCTGCATCAACCTTCTCTTCCATGAAGCCACCCAGCTTTGTGTCCTTTGGACCTCTTCTTTGCACTCTATTAACAATCACAGAAGGCAGCCAAGTCTCTTTTGTGCAGATTTTTTTTTTATTTTGGGTTTGAGGAGGACCACACTGAGGTCATCCAGAGGAGTCTACCTGGTCCCAAACCCCCACTCAGCCCCACTGGAACCCAGCTGGCCACCAAGTACCCATTTCAAATGTGTTTTGCTTCGGATAGCCAGCCGAAAGAGAGCGAAGGGAGCGAGGAGCAGCAAGATTCTGGATCATCTGTATTTGTGGATGGTAGTGTTGCTTGGGGCCTTTCCGTGGCTTCCAGTCCTCCTCAGGCCATCCTCAGCACCTCACGGACCATCTTCCCGATGCCATCATGGATCTCGTGGACGGGCGCGTTGCACATGAAGGCGCTGGTGGTCACCAGCTTGTGCTTGGGGTCTACATGGATCTCGCCCACGCTCCGGTTGACGTGTTTACAGCCCATTTCCTTCAGCGCCTGAGCCGTCTGGGCATAGGGCCAGCTGTGGCAGAAAGGGGACAGAAAGGAACATTTCAATCAAGATGTATATATAGATATGGTAGGATCAGTAAGTTGCTTCCCTTGGTCACTGAGCACCCATTGGGACATCAAGATGGAGGGCACTGGACAGGCATGAACATCAGACAAAAGGGTCTAGAGCAGTACAAAAGTGCTATAATAATCTGCAGCGTTTCTCAATCTTCCTAATGTGGGGGGCGGGGGGGAAGTTGATTTTGTCATTTGGGAGTTGTAATTGCTGGGATTTATAGTTCACCTACAATCAAAGATAATTCTAAACTACACCAACCATGGAATTGAACCAAACTTGGCACACGGAACTCCCATGACCAACAGAAAAATACAGCAAGGGTTTGGTGGGCATTTACGAGGGTTGAATGAAAAGTAATGCCTCCACCTTCGTAACACCTCAACAGAAGGCAGTACTGGTATGTCTACAGTTCCATTTTGGCGGGAAGCCTTAGCACTGAACAGTTGTGTTGTTAAAGTGTGAAGTATGGAACCCTGCACAGACGGTTGGTCATTGCGACTTAAACAACGTGCAGTCTTTGAATTCTTGACAGTAGAAGGTGTCACCTCAACATCTTTAAACTTACTTGCCCAACGACGCACAGTACTCACATCAACACAATCACCATAAACAGTTTGCATTCTCTGATGAATCTCCTTAAACCCTGCATTAACATTCTGTGTAGGATTTTATACTTCGTACTTTAGCAACACAACCGTTCAATGCTAAGGCTTCCTGCCAAAATGGAACTGTAGAGGAGGGTCTACTGAACAAGCCAGTACCCGCCACATACCAGTACTGCCATCTGTTGAGGAGTTACAAAGGTGGAACCACTACTTTTCATTCAATTCTCGTACCTTGAGTTTGGGAGTTGTAGTTCACCTACATCCAGAGAGCATTGTAGACTCAGACAATGATGGATCTGGACCAAATGTGGCACGAATACTCAATATGCCCAAATGTGAACACTAGTGGAGTTTGGGGAAAATAGACCTTGATATTTGGGAGCTATAGTTGCTGGGATTTATAGTTCAGCTACAGTCAAAGAGCATTCTGAACCCCACCAATGATGGGCCAAACTTCCCACACAGAACCCCCATGACCAACAGAAAATATTCTGATAGCCTTTGGTGACCCTTATGGGGAAGTGGCCTTTTTTGGACTCCCCTATCCAGTGTGGTGGAGAGTGATGGGAGCTGTAGTTCCCTCTCCCCAAAGGACTCTGCCTTGAAACCAGTCTTGTCTTTTCCCAAAGCTCCTTCTCCGTACGTCTCACACTCGGCGTCGTGTCCCACGGTGACCTCACATCCTGGCAGGATCTTGGCGGCCAGAACTGGGGCGATACAGCAGAGGCCGAGGGGCTTCCCGGCTGCATGGAAAGCCCGGATGGCGCCCTCCACACCTTCGGAGACAGAGCAGTCCTTGCCCTCCGAGGCCCAGGAGCAGAGGTTCTTGGCCACCCCAAATCCACCTGCAAACAAGAGGGGAACAAAGAGGGTGGTTGTCAGCTTTAGAGGAGGGCATTGGACCTGTCCTGGAGACTGTTTTGCTCCCCTCTTCCTTGCATTGTGACCCCCAACAAATGTTTTGGTGGCCTAAGACAGGGGTGAATGTTATCTTTAGAGTGACATTTCCTGTAGAGGAATGTGGGACTTGCCATCCAAGGGCGCATCTCCACTACCAAGTATGGTCCACTGCCATGGTTCGGACATGGGAGTTATAGTTTCACCAGGTCTTCTTTGTCTAAAAAGGGTCCCCAAACTACAACTCCTGGGACTCCATAGCACAGCGTTTCTCAACCTGGGGGTCGGGACCCCTGGGTGGGTCACGACGGAGTGTCAGAGGGGTCGCCAAAGACCATCAGAAAACACAGGGGGTTTTTTTGTTAGTTATGGCGGTTCTGTGTAGGAATTTGGCCCAAAATCTCTCTGCCTGAACTTCTCTTCCTTTTCAGTGTTGGTGAACTATAACTCCCAGAATTCAAAAACAGCCCTGCCAACCCCAACAGTATTTAGTGTTGGCTATGTAGGTCGTGTGCCAAGTTTGGCCCAATTCTATCATTGGTGGGGTCAGAATGCTCTTTGATTGTAGGTGAACTGTAAATCCCAGTAACTACAACTCTCAAATGTCAAGGTCTATTTCCCCCAAACTCCATCTGTGTTCATATTTGGGCATATGGAATATTTGTGGCAAGTTTGGTCCAGATCCATCATTGTTTGAGTCCACAGTGCTCTACCTAGATGTAGGTGAACTACAACTCCAAAACTCAAGGTCTGTGCCCACCAAACCCTTCCAGCGTTTTCTGGTGGTTATGGGAGTTCTGTGTGCCAATTTTGATGCAATTCCTTCGGGGTTCGAATGCTCTTTGATTGTAGGTGAACTATAAATCCCAGCAACTACAACTCCCAAATGACAAAATCAATCCTCCCATAACACTCCAATAAGAATACATTTCATATTTGTGCCAAATGTGATTCAGTGAATGAAAATACATCCTGCATCTCAGATATTTACATTATGATTCATCACAGTAGCAAAATTACAGTTGTGAAGGAGCAACTAAACTAATGTTATGGTTGGGGGTCAACACAAGATGAGGAACTGCATTATGGGGTCACTTCATTGGGAAGGTTGAGAAACGCTGCCATAGCAGGTCAAAGAGGGGTCAAACTGCATTAATTCTACAGTGGAGATACCCCATCAGACACTATTTAACACAATTTTTGTTCCTTGGTTATAAATGTCATTTCCCATATGGGTCTATCATTAAAAAATGGAAAAAAAATGTATTGAACTGCCAAAACTTTGTTTTTGCGGGAGAGGCATCCTGCAGCACATTTCGCTCTAGTTTTCCAATGAATCATCATTGAGTCTCAACCAATTCAACCGAGTTAATGGCAGCCACAAAAACAAAGTTTCTGGAGTATAGCAACTACTTTCAAAGTAAGTATTGCACAATTAAATAAATGAAACTTATTAAATTAATTAATTATTATTATTTTTTGTCATGTCAGGAGCAACCGCTCCTGTTGTGAGAGAATTGGCCGTCTGCAAGGACGTTGCCCAGGGGACGCCCGGATGATTTGATGTTTTATCATCCTTGTGGGAGGCTTCTCTCATGTCCCCGCATGAGGAGCTGGAGCTGACAGAGGGAGCTCATCCGCCTCTCCCCGGATTGGAACCTGCGACCTGTCGGTCTTCAGTCCTGCTGGCACAGTGCTTTAACCCACTGCGCCACCATAATTAAATTATTTAATTAGATAATTAAACTTTCAAACCAGGAACAGAAAATTTGTCACATTTTGTTACATAGTGCTATTACTCCCACTCCAATCCTAAAGCTATTGCTTATAGCACTCACTCTATTAAGCCTATTGAATTAATTGTTAAACATCTCATTGACGTGGACAGTCTGGATTGTGGCGATTTTCATTCATTTAGTCCTGACTAGAGCAGACTCGTGGAACCAATGCTGAATTGTGTGCTGATATGTTGGTATGTAATAATAATAATAATAATAATAATAATAATAATAATAATAATATGTATTGTTGAAGGCTTTCATGGCTGGAATCACTAGGTTCTTGTGGGGTTTTTTCGGGCTATATGGCCATGCTCTAGAGGCATTTTCTCCTGATGTTTCGCCTGCATCTATGGCAAGCATCCTCAGAGGTAGTAATAATAATAAAATAATAAAAAAACTTTATTTATATTCCACCCTATCTCCCTGGAGGGGCTCCTGGTGGTGCAGCAGGTTAAACTGCTGAGCTGCTGAACTTGCTGACCAAAAGGCTGGCAGTTCGAATCCAGGGAGTGGGGTGAGCTCCCACTGTTAGCCCCAGCTTCTGCCAACATGCAAGTGTGAGTAGATCAGTAGTTACTGCTTCTGCAGGAATGTAACAGTGCTCCATGCAGGCATGCTGGCCACATGACCTTGGAGGTTTTTATGGACAATGCTGACTCTTTGGCTTAGAAATTGAGATGACTAGACTTAATATCAAGGGAAACTATTACCTTTACCTCTTTCCATGCGGATTCCAAACATAAAAGGCAAACATTCAATGCCCGAACACAATAACAATACATCCAAATGTATTGTCGAAGGCTTTCATGGCCGGAATCACTGGGTTGTTGTAGGTTTTTTCGGGCTATATGGCCATGGTCTAGAGGCATTTTCTCCTGACGTTTCGCCTGCATCTATGGCAAGCATCCTCAGAGGTAGTGAGGTCACCTCACTACCCCTGAGGATGCTTGCCATAGATGCAGGCGAAACGTCAGGAGAAAATGCCTCTAGACCATGGCCATATAGCCCGAAAAAACCTACAACAACCCAATACATCCATAGTAATGAAATTTGGCAACCCAACATACAAAAACAAATTATGACTTAACATCTAAAATTAAATAAACAATGCAACCTGTTATATCAGACATAAGACAAAACATCAAACATTGAACAGAAGCATTAATTTCACAGTTCCTTGGGGGCAAATAGATTGATCATTGCTCAAAATATCTATAGAGCTGGTGGGGTGAACAGGGTACAGATACGGATGGTAGCTATTAATCAAAGGTATAATGGTAGTATTACCAACTACTTTTCCTTCTCCTCATAAGCCAGTGAGCAAAGGTTTCTTGAATCCGCTGTTTCTTGAATGTGGGGAGGGAGGGGACCTTCTTTAACTCCTTAGGAAGGGAGTTCCAGAGGTGGGGGGCGGCCACGGAGAAGACCCTTTCTCTTGTTCCCACCAGTCGTGCTTGGGATGGGGGTGGGACTGAGAGGAGGGCCTCCTCCGATGACCACAGTGTCCAAGTTGGCCTATAATGGGAGATGTAGTTTGTCAACAATATACTCCCGTCAAGACTAACAGAGTTTAGATTATTGAATTATTGGTATTTTATACATCTGGGATGCAGGACTCAGGAAGCCCACTGAATACCCAGCTCTTACGGCCCTTCCAGAGAGGCCCTATATCCCAGGATCTAATCTCAGGTTTTCTGCTTTAAACTGGATTATATGAGTCCACACTGCCAGATAATCTGGGATAAACAGAAAACTTGGGATCAGATCCTAGGATATAGGGCCTGTCTAGAAGGGCCTTTAGTGCTCTTATCTTGCTACCTGGGATGATGAGAGCATCCAAGTCCTGCACTTTCAACAAGTCCAGATCCTTCACATTTCCTCGGCCGATCCGGGCGCTTTCTGCCAAGACGTTGCGCTCCTCCTTCTCCATGGGCTGCCCTGTGGCGTGGTTCACCACATGCTTCTGGGGAACATTGGGAGCAAACAGCACAGCCTGGATGCAATAAAAAACAACAGCAACAACAATAGAATGCTTGATTAGTAGACAATCTTAATATAGATTTAGTGCTTCTCTTCTCCAAGTTTGACATTCCCCTTCTTTGTTTTCTTGCACACGTAAGTGTCCATCAACGCCTTCCCTGCGGACACACACACGAGCACATATAGACACCCACATATATACACACAAACACATACATACATCCAATACATACACACATACATCCAATACATACCCACATACATAAAACACATACAAACATACAAACACATACATACACATGAACACATACATATACATATATAATATATACCCATGAACACATACATCTACAGGAGCCCCCAGTGGCACACTGGGTTAAACCCTTGCACCGGCAGGACTGAAGACTGACAGGCTGCAGGTTCAAATCCAGGGAGAGCACGGATGAGCTCCCTCTATCAGCTCCAGCTCCTCATGCGGGAACATGAGAGAAGCCTCCCACAAGTATGGTAAAACATCAAAACATCCAGGCGTCCCCTGGGCAACGTCCTTGCAGACGGCCAATTCTCTCACACCAGAAGCGACTTGCTGTTTCTCAAGTCACTCCTGACACGACAAAAAAAATACATCTACATATACATACATACCCGCATACACATACATACAATACATAGCTTTTTATGGATTTTAACTGTGAATTTTTAATACCATTGATATTTAATTCCGTTTTAATATATGCAGATTTTAAACTGCATTCAAATGATTTTAGTGTAAGTGGCTTTGTGTTTCCTTGTGGAGAGAAAAAGTGGGGTAAAAATAAACATAATAGTAATAATAGTAATAGTAATAGTAATAATAATAATAATAATAATAATAATACACAAATACTTGAGTACAATGGGTTAAATCGCTGAGCTGCTGAACTTGTTGACCAAAAGGTCGGCGGTTTGAATCCGGGGAGCAGGGTGAGCTCCCGCTGTTAACCCCAGCTTCTGCCAACCTAGCAGTTCGAAAACATGCAAATGTGAGTAGATCAATAGGTACCGCTCCAGCGGGAAGGTAATGGTGTTCCATGCAGTCATGCTGGCCACATGACCTTGGAGGTGTCTAGGGACAATGCCAGCTCTTCTGCTTAGGAATGGAGATGAGCACCACCCTCCAGAGTCAGACATGACTAGACTTAATATCAAGGGGAAACCTTTACTTTTACCTTTACACAAACACATACACATACATATACTCAAGAGCTTCTAGGGTCTCAAAGGGCTGCATGCATGGGTCCTCTAAGGCCACAATATGCCTCTCATCTCCAATTTTGACATTTCCCCTTCTTTGTTTCCTTGCACACTTAAGTGTGCATCAACAACTTCCCTGCAGAGAAGACATGTTTGGCAGAGGCATTGCAAAACTATGCTTTTTGCTCCTGTTTTTCTTTATGGTGCACAGCCCCAGGCAAGGTGAAACCACCAGGAAGAGACCACAGAAATGGTTCAAAGGGCTAGAGGTTCACAGAGGTCCAGAATCCTCCTGGCTGAACGGCTGGGTTTTAGTCAGAACTCCTTTTGGGGGAAGGATAAGGGAGAAGGAAGGGATCCTCAGACCATCTAGCCTAAGTCTCTTTTTAGGAAAGGACAGCAGAAAAGGAAGCAACCTTCAAAGACCATCTAGACTGAGCTTCTTTTTAAGGAAAAGATATGGGAAAAGGAAGGGACCCTCAAAGACCATCTAGTCTGACCTTTTTAAGGAAACGATAAGGGAGAAGGAAGGGACCCTCAAAGACCATCTAGTCTGACCTTTTTAAGGAAACGATAAGGGAGAAGGAAGGGACCCTCAAAGACCATRTAGTCAGCCCTTCTTTTTTGGACAGGATGAGGGAAAATGGAGGGGCCCCCAAAGACCATTTAGACTGACCTTCCTTTGAAGGAAAGGTTAAGGCAGAAGGAAGGGACCCTCAATGACCATCTAYTRTGACCTTCCTTTGAAGGAAAGGTTAAYGGAAAAGGAAGGGACCCTCAAAGACTATCTAGTCTGACCTTCTTTTTAAGGAAAGGTTAAGGGAGGAGGAAGGGACCCTCAAAGACTATCTAGTCTGACCTTTTTAAGGAAAGGTTAAGGGAGGAGGAAGGGATCCTCAAATACCATCTAGTCTGACCTTACTTTTTTGGACAGGATGAGGGAAAATGGAGGGACCCTCAAAGACAATCTAGTCTGACCTTCCTTTGAAGGAGAGATTAAGGGAAAAAGAAGGGARCCTRAAAGACTATCTAGTCTGACCTTCCTTTGAAGGAGAGATTAAGGGAAAAAGAAGGGACCCTCAAAGACTATCTAGTCTGACCTTCCTTTGAAGGAAAGGTTAAGGGAGAAGGAAGGGACCCTCAAAGACCATCTAGTCTGCCCTTCTTTTTTGGACAAAATGAGGGAAAATAGAGGGGTCCTCAAAAACCATCTAGTCTGACCTTTTTAATGAAATGATAAGGGAGAAGGAAGGGACCCCCAAAAACCATCTAGACTGACCTTCCCTTGAAGGAAAGGATAAGGGAGAAGGAAGGGACCCTCAAAGACCATCTAATCTGACCTTCTTTTTTGGACAGGATGAGGGAAAATGGAGGGCCCCTCAAAGACCATCTAGTCTGACCTTCCTTTTAGGGAAAGGATAAGGGAGAAGGAAGGGACCCCTCAAAGACCACCTGACCTTCCTTTTTGGACAGGATGAGGGAACATGGAGGGGTCCTCTAGGTCCATCTAGACTGACCTTCCTTTGAAGGAAAGGCTAGGGGAAAAGGAAGGGACCATCTAGTCTGACCTCCCTCAGCTGTCTAGAAGGAGTCTAGAAGCAGCAGTCCAAAAAAACTCCCAGCCACTCGGCCAAGCTCTAGCAAATAACCCTCTAAAACAGGAAAAATACAACTCAAAAGGAGCTCATGTGAGCATTTTGACAGTCCACAATATTATTGTTATTGTTGTCATTATTTTTTCCTTACCTGGGCCCCTTCCCGGCTGAGATGCACCATGACGGCCGACACTTCGTGGACTTCACTCCCATCATAGACGCCGCAGCCGGACAGGATGACTGCCACCTTCTTCTGGCCCATGATCAGCTTGGCTCTCTGCTTTGGCTCCTTGCTTCTTTCCTTGACTCTTTACTTCCCTCTTTCCTTCTTTCCTTCCTTCTGGAGACTATTTATGGGTCCAAATCCACTCCTCCCACTGCTGCCCGCCCCCTTCTTCAGCTTTCAGCCAGCCCTTTACTGGAAGGAAAGAAATTTCCATTTCCTCCAAACCACTGGACAGGTTGGGCAACGGTTTTGCCAACCCTGAGGGTTTTTTAAATAGCTGCTTTGGGTTGGTTTATTCAGGTTTCATTTGGGGGTTCGGCAGGAAGGACTGAGTCATAGAGAAAAGGGGTTACATAGTGTAATAATAATAATAATAATTATTATTATTATTATTATTTATTTACTATATCGCTTTTCTCAGCCTATCAGTGACTCAAGGTGGTTTTTAAAATAATAATAATAATAATAATAATAATAAGCCTTTGACAACATATTAATAATAATAATAATTTATTTACTATATCGCTTTTCTCAGCCTATCAGTGACTCAAGGTGGTTTTAAAAATTATTATTATTATTATTATTATTATTATTATTATTATTATTATGTTGTCAAAGGCTTTCATGGCCGGAATCACTGGATTGCTGTGAGTTTTCTGCGCTGTCTGGCCATGTTCCAGAAGCATTCTCTCCTGATATTTCACCCACATCTAAGGCAGGTTAGGAGCCCCTGGTGGTGCAATGTGATGGCAGCGACTGAATACTGCAGGTTGGAGGTTCGAATGTGGGAGAGTGCTGATGAGCTCCCTATGTCAGCTCCAGCTCCCCATGCGGGGACATGAGCAAAGGATGGTAGAACATCAGAATATCAGAGTGTCGTCTGGGCAAGATGACCAATTCTCTCACATCAGAAGCGACTTACAGTTTCTCAAGTCACTCCTGACATGAAAAAAAAAATCCTCAGAGGTTGAGGGGTCTGTTGGAAACTAGTCAAGTGGGGTTTATATATCTGTGGAATAATGTCCAGGGTGGGAGAAAGAATGCCTGTCTGCTTGAGACAAGTGTGAATGTTGCAATTGGCCAACTTGATTAGCATTTAGTGGCCTAGCAGCTTTCAAGGTCTGGCTTCTTACTGCCTGAGGAATCCTTTGTTGGGAGGTGTTAGCTGGCTCTGATTCTTTCCTGTCTGGAATTCCTCTGTTTTCTGAGTCTTGCTCTTTATTTACTGTCCTGATTCTAGGGCTTGGGCAATGCTGTGTTTGGTAGTCCCTATGTATTCGGTATACAGTATAAGAGTCTACCGTATACCATGCAGCTGTGGACAAGTCTACATAGGGACCACCAAACGCAGTAGCATTACCCAGACACGAATCAAGAAACATGAAAGGCACTGCAGACAAATTCAATCAGAGAAGTGAGCCATGGCAGAGTACCTGAGGAACCAACCAGGACAGCAAATAAAGAGCAAGACTCAAATAGCAGGGGAATTCCAGACAAGAATCAATCAGGGGCAACATTCAAAAGCCACGGGAATTCCAGACAAGAATCAATCAGGGCCAGCTAACACCTCCCAACAAAGGATCCCCCAGGCAGCAACCAGCCAGGCTTTGAAGCTACAAGGCCATTAAGTGCTAATCAAGGTGGCCAATTGCAACATTCACACTTGCCTCAAGCAGACAAGAGTTCTTTCTCCAACCCAGGACATTCCACAGATAAATAAACCACGCCTAGTTTCCAACAGACCCCCCAAACCTCAGAGGATGCCTGCCATCGATGTGGGTGAAATGTCAGGAGAGAATGCTTCTGGAACATGGCCATACAGCCTGGAAAAATAAACATAATGATGAGCATAATAATAATAATAATAATATAATACATCACACAGTCTTAGATGCTTGGGAAGTGTTCGACTTGTGATTTTTGATACGAAATCCAGCATATAGATCTCGTTTGCTGTGACATACTGTGTTTTTGTGTCAGTAAAATAATAATAATAATAATAATAATAATAATAATTTGAGAACACAGAAATGCTGGACCACTCTAATAACCACCATGTCAGACTACACAGAGAAGCCATTGAAATCCACAAGCATGTGGACAATTTCAACAGAAAGGAGGAAACCATGAAAATGAACAAAATCTGGCTACCAGTATTAAAAAACTCTAAAATTACAACAGCAAAAACAGAGAGGAAACAAACAAGGACATCTAATCACCTCTCAACAAAAGTTTGCTCTAGGCACTGTCAGGCCATTATATGCTAATCAAGGTGGTCAGTTGAAACATTCACACCTAGATCCAGCAGACAAGAGTCCTTTGTCCCACCCTGGTCATTCCAAAGATATATAAACCCTTTTTTCTAGTTCCAACAGACCTCACTACCTCTGAGGATGCTTGCCATAGATGCAGGCGAAACGTCAGGAGAGAATGCCTCTAGACCATGGCCATATAGCCCGAAAAAACCTACAACAACCCAGTGATTCCGGCCATGAAAGCCTTCGACAATAATGATAATAATAGAGTCATAGGCTTCTTGAGTTGGAAGGGACTCCAAGGAGCACCCAATCCAACTCTCTTTTGCAGGCAGGATGACACCATCCAATCCCTCCTGCCAGATGGCCATGCAGACTCTGCATCATCCTCATCATCATTGAATCATAGGCACCTAGAGTTGGAAGGGACCCCAAGGGCTCCTAACCAATTCTGCTAGGCAGGAACACCACAATCAAAGCCCTCCCAAAAGATGTCCATGTGACCTCTTTCCCAGGCAGCATATTCCACATATGCTTTCTCTCAGCCACACTATTTGGGGCAATATGTCCCACCCCCTCCCGGCAGTAGATAGGGTGATGCTATAGGTTTCTAAAAACCCCAAGAGGCAAACAAAAGTGCAAGAGGGTTCCAGGAAAGGAAGGGCCCCAGGCTCCAAAGGGAGGGAGAGAGGGAGGGACAGATGGACACTCATCACCAGCATCTTCATCCCTCCCTCTCTTCCTCCTTCCCTCCCTCCTTCTCTCCTCCTTTCGGCCTACAAAAGGGCGGAGGAGGCGAGTGCTGGCTCTCTATCTCTCCTTCCCTGCTCCTCCTTCCATCCCTTCTTCCATTTGTCGGGGGAGGACGATGGGTGGTGGAAGCCCAGCCGGGGGCCAGTCCCTGCACCAGTCGGTGGGTCTCCTCGCCATCTCGGCAGGTAAAGCGACCAAGGGGCGGGGGGGGGGGGGAGAGGAGGGTCCTCTGGCTCTCCATGGAGCTCTCCCCCGAAAAAGCGGGAAGGAAGGTGTTCTTTGAGGCTCCCTTCCTTTTGCCTTATCCTGTCCAAAAAGGGGGTCAGACTAGATGTTCTTTGAGGGTCCCTTTTTCCTGATCATTCCCTTAAAAGGGGGTCAGACTAGATGTTCTTTGAGGGTCCCTGCCTTTCCCCCTATCCCTTCCTAAAAGGGAGTCAGACTAGATGGTCTTTGAGGGTCCCTGCCTTTTCTCCTATCCCTCCCTCAAAGGGGGTTAGACTAGATGGTCTTTGAGAGTTCCTGCCTTTTCCCTTCTTTCCTAAAAGGGGTCAGACTAGATGGTCTTTGAGGGTCCCTTCCTTTTTCCTGATCCTTCCCTTAAAAGGAGATCAGACTAGATGTTCCTTGGGGGTCCCTTTCTTCTCCCTTACTCTTTCCTAAAAGGGTCAGATTAGATAGTCTTTGTGGGTCCCTTCCCTTTTCCCTATCCTTTCCTAAAAGGCAAATCAGACTAGATGTTCTTTGTGGGTCCCTTCCTTTTCCCTTACCATTTCCTAAAAAGGCAGGCCAGACTAGTTGGTCTTTGAGAGGTCCTGCCTTTTCCTTTCTCCTGTCCAAAAAAGGGAGGCCAAACTAGATGGTCTTTGAGTGTCCCTTCCTGCTCCCTTATCCTTTCCTAAAGAGGCAGGTTAGACTAGATGGTCTTTGAGGATCCCTTCCTTTTGCTTTATCCTGTCCAAAAAGGGGTTCACACTAAATGGCCTTGAGGGTCCCTTTTCCCTTCTGTGCCCCCTAAAAGGAGGTCATTCTAAATGGTTTTGAGTGTCCCTTCCTTTCCCACTATCCTTTCCTAAAAGGGGGTCAGACTAGAAGGTCTTTGAGGGTCTCTTCCTTTTTCCTGATCCTTCCCTTAAAAGGAGATCAGACTAGATGTTCTTTGAGGGTCCCTTCCTTTTGCTTTATCCTGTCCATAAAAGGGGGTCAGACTAGATGGTCTTTGAGGGTACCTTCCTTTTCTCTTATCCTTTCCTTAAAAGGGTCAGACTAGATGATCTTTGTGGGTCCCTTCCTTTTGCTTTAGCCTGTCCAAAAAAAGGGGGTCAGACTAGATGGCCTTTGAGGATTCCTTCCTTTTGCTTTATCCTGTCCAAAAAAGGGGGTCAGACTAGATAGTCTTTGAGGTCCCTTCCTTTTCCTTAAAAGGGATCATAATAGCTGATCTTTGTGGGCCCCTCCCTTTGTATGTAGCCTTACAAATGGAAACTGGAGCCCTACTAACTCCTATTCCACCAAACGGTTGCAGAATCTTCTGTCTCTGTTGGCTCCCATTCTTTAAATTCTGTTTCAGGCGCTCTGTTGCTCTCAGTGCATTTCTACAGCTTCACGCGGCCGGTGCCTTTGCTCTCCGAAACGGCCCTTGGGGCCCTCCTGCTCTTTATCTCCTGCCTCGTTGGATATGCAGGTGAGGAAATGGATTTTGGCGTTTGTTTTGGGACACTCCGTTTGCCTCCCATGGCCTTGTTTTACCATCGTTGGGTGCTTTTCATTCATTTCTGACTTATGGTGGCCCTGTTATTGAGGTCCGGTGCCCCCAAATCCCTAGTATCTACTTTCAATCAGAAATACAGTAGTTGAATCTGCAGAATAACACTAAGGGTTGGGTATAATAGTCGAGCACCACATCATGGGTTTTATAGTTGACCAGAGACAAACCTTATTCTGCTCCTCTCGGGGTGCCTCTCTGTTCCAAAACAACAGTGACAAATGCAAGATACTCCACTTTGGCAGAAAAAATGAAATGCAAAGATACAGAATGGGGGCTCGAGAGCAGTACGTATGAAAAAGATCTTGGAGTCCTCGTGGACAACAAGTTAAACATGAGCCAACAATGTGATGTGGCGGCAAAAAAAGCCAATGGGATTTTGGCCTCATCAATAGGAGCATAGTGTCTAGATCTAGGGAAGTCATGCTACCCCTCTATTCTGCTTTGGTTAGACCACACCTGGAATATTGTGTCCAATTCTGGGCACCACAATTCAAGTGAGATATTGACAAGCTGGAATGTGTCCAGAGGAGGGTGACTAAAATGATCAAGGGTCTGGAGAACAAGCCCTATGAGGAGCGGCTTAAGGAGCTGGGCATGTTTAGCCTGAAGAAGAGAAGGCTGAGAGGAGATATGATAGCCATGTATAAATATGCGAGAGGAAGCCACAGGGAGGAGGGAGCAAGCTTGTTTTCTGCTTCCCTGGAGACTAGGACGCAAACAATGGCTTCAAACTACAAGAGAGGAGATTCCATCTGAACATGAGGAAGAACTTCCTGACTGTGAGAGCCATTCAGCAGTGGAACTCTCTGCCCCGGAGTGTGGTGGAGGCTCCTTCTTTGGAAGCTTTTAAACAGAGGCTGGATGGCCATCTGTCAGGGGTGATTTGAATGCAATATTCCTGCTTCTTGGCAGAATGGGGTTGGACTGGATGGCCCATGAGGTCTCTTCCAACTCTTTGATTCTATGATTCTATGATTCTAATTCTGTTTTCCAAAGCAATTCTCCTGTGCTTCTCCCCTTCCTGCACTTCCAGGTCATTCTGATTTTTCTTCATCTTTCCCACACTTCGCCTGGCAATGTTATATTTTTGTGGCAGCCTAGCCACCTACTTGATCCCTTTTTCATCCAAACATCACATAGATCAGGGGTCCCCAAACTACGGCCCGGGGGCCAGATAGCGGCCCTCCAAGGCCATTTACCTGGCCGTCACTCAGGGTCAACCTAAGTCTGAAAGCACACAAAAACAACAACAGCAACAATCCTATCTCATCAGCCAAAAGTAGGCTCACACTTCTCATTTAAATACTAATAAGTTTATATTTGTTAAAATTGTTCTTCATTTTAATTATTGCATTGTTTTAAGTGTTTTTTGCACTACAAATAAGATATGTGCAATGTGCATAGGAATTCATTCATTTTTTTCCAAATTATAATCCAGCCCTCCAATAGTTCGAGGGACTGTGACCTGGCCCTCTGTTTAAAAAGTTTGAGGACCCCTAACATAGATGAACAAGAATAGTAAGTTTATTAGGAAAAGAGTATCTAATACAGTGTTTCCCAACCTTCCTAACACCGCAACCCCTTAATACAGTTCCTCATGTTGTGCTGACCTCCAACCATAACATTATTTTTGTTGCTACTTCATAATGGTAATTTTTCTACTGTTATGAATCGTAATGTAAATATCTGATATACAGGATGTATTTTTATTCACTGGACCAAAATACCCAATACGCCCAAATTTGGATACTGGTGAGGTGGGGGATTGATTTTGTCATTTGGGAGTTGTAGTTGCTGGGATTTATAGAGCATTCTGAACTCCACCAATGATAGAATTGTCTCACGATGCCAGGGCTCTGCCTTATTCAGGTAGAGATGAACCAAACAAACACCCAGTTTGTATCAAACAGTTTAATTAAACAGCACTTACTTTCTAGCTGTTTTAATAGTCCAAAATATAAAATATAAAAATAGCACTCAGCTACAAAATAAACAAAAATAGATAGCAAAAGCTACACCATAGTCAAAGGGTTCTGTCCAGTGATCAAATGCCAAGAGTCCAGGGATCCAAGAATCTATACCATAGTCCAGGACCGTAGCCAGAAATTTTTTTTGGGACCTGAAAATTTTTTGGGGTGGGGGGGGGGAGTTTTGAAAATGGGGGGGTTGAAAATTTCAGGGGGGGGAGTTGAAACCTGCCTCTTAGCTCACACTGATTCAAAGAGTACAGCAAGGGGGCAGAGCAGCCTTCAATAGCCACCTCCACCAAGTCTGGCCTCCTTAATGAGAGCATTCAACACCCCCCCCCCCAACTTGGTTGCTTCACTACATCGGCTATTGCTGCAAGTAATGACAGTGTGAATAAATTGTCAATATTTGCTTGAGATAGTGCTTGCAGTTCTGGAGGGACTCTTAATTTTTTGCGTCTCATAGACTTAGCATGGGGATTTGGTTAACCAGTTAAAATTCATGAGTAAACCAGGTTTACTTTTTTTTAACCTGAAAATTTTGAGGGGGGGGGTTGAACCCCTAACCCCCCCCCCCCCCCCCCCCGCTACAGGCCTGCTGTAGTCCAAAGCCAGTCCAGAGATTCAAAGTTCCAGGGTTTTAAGAATTCAGGAGACAGGTCAGGATACCGAAAATCCACAAACCTGGGGAAAAACCAGCAGCATCTACCACCAAAATAAAAAATTACTTTTCTCCCGAAGATCAGTCCCAAGGCTAGCTCATTATATCCAGAAACACCCAGCTGCAACCTATCTCTTGCATACCTCCACCCTTAATTGCTTTCACCCATGAACCTTACTTACAGATTATTCAACCCTTTAGAACTAAGACTTACATTAACCCTTCCATCACCAACTGCTAGGCCTGCCACCACCAACCACCATCAACTGCAGAACATGATACATGACAAATTGGGCCAAACTTCCCACACAGAACACCCATGCCTTGAAGGGACTCATTGGCGCGAGCCTCCCTCTAGTCTTGAACGCTCTCCCTCACCTGCACAAGCGCACCATGCTGCCATGCTTTGAGCATGCCTGCTCTCCCCTCCCTTCTTAGAGTCTTAGAAACAGCCCTCCTCTTAGCTGAGAAGCTGGTTGAAAGCCCGGCCAATCACAGGAAGAGGAGGGCTTTTAGTCTGAGGATTCACTATCTGTTCGAAAAAGGAAGAGAAGAACAGGCGGGGAGATCTTCAGCTTTCTCTGCCAAAGAGGTTCCTAAGACCATCAGAAATATGTGTTTTTTGATGGTCTTTGGTGACCCCTCTGTCCCTTATGATTCCCCCAGGGGTACCGACCCCCAGATTGAGAAACACTGATCTAATATAAAAACAATTTCAAAATACATCCATGACCCAAATTTCCAGATGCTTAACAAAAAGCAATGACCAACTGTGAATCGTAATTCCAAAAAGCATTTAAGGCAAAAGCAAGAAACTGTAATCCAAGGGTTGTTGCACTTAAACTAGAATTATATCCATAAGCTTGAAAGCATGAACATGATCATAATCCAAAGGTTTGATACTTGAATTTGACTATAATCCCAATGGCTTGAAACTAGAAACAAGGTTTGTAATCCAAACAGGAGGCATGGAGATTTAACAGAAAAACAAGATACTGATCCAAGAACAGAACTCCTAACTCAGAGTTCCCAAGACAAGCAATTTGACACATGAAAATCCAACGTTGACCTCCCCATCAAACATTGACTCTAATTCCTTAAGAATATTCCCTCTGGCCCATGACATCTCTCTTTCTCACATCTGGGTTCTCTTTGTTTATCTTTCAGTCTCTGGGAATACTGGATTTGTCTGTTTTGCACTATCCCTTCTGATCTGTAAACAGTGGGTTATCTGTAACCCTCCTGTCTCCTTTCAGAGTCAACCTCTGACCGGGTCTCATGAGAATCGCTGCCTGTTTTCCCAACAACAGATCTACCCAAAACATTCCCATCATCTCAAAAAACACTTTTACCTTCCCCCACAGAAACATCAGGCTCAACCAGAAAATCCTCATCCTCAGAGGCTTCACAGGCATGAACACTTTTCCATCTCCTTCACTCTTTTCACTCCCTCCTCCCCTCTCTTTAACCCATTCTTAAAACTTTCTTCTTATTATATCCACACTTTAAAAATCTGTCTCTTCACTGTTGTGGGGTTTTCTAGGGCTTTGTCAGGATCATCCAGTCAGTCTCCAAGACCAAACAGTGGTGCAAACCCAAGTGATAAACACCATGCTTCTCCACTGCGCCCTCCTTGCTCTGCTGATCCTTTCTTTCTCTCTTCGCAGGGGTCCGGAAGTACCTCCAAAATGCCCCCATTTTTGTCTCTCTCTGCCTGACCATCTCAGTCCTTTGGGCCAGCTATGGGTCCATCCAAGTGCTGGCTGGACAAGGGCTCCTCCGTGACGCTGTTGATGTCCGCAATGCTGCTGTTCCAGGGCTGGCAGCCTTCAGCCTGGCCTTGCTTCTGGTGGCCATGGTGGGCTTCCTCCAGAGAGAGGCCATCCTGGCTGCAGTGGCCGCCTCCCTTTCCCTGGTGTGTGCCCATGAAGTGGCCTTCTTCTACGATGTCGCCTTTGGCTCGGGTGGATCGGCTTTTGGCTGCTTGGCAGTCTGTCTTGTGGGGGGCTACGCCGGCTTGGGGAGGGCCCTCTTCTTCCTCAGCAAGGGGGGCATTGTTTTGCCAGGCACAGACCTGGCTGAAAGAGGAGCCAAGGAGGGGCCAAACACAGCGTCTAATGACTTGATCCCTTTCGGACTCATCCTCAACCTGCTGTCCTCCAGTGTCTTTGGCTGCCAGATCCTAGGAGTGACCACTGAGCTCTCCCTTGGCCAAGTCCCTTGGCTTTGGGCTGGTGGGCTCTGCCAACTAGGCATCTCTGTCTCCTGCTACCGAACAGGGGATGCCCTCCTGGCCACCTTCTCCAGCTTCACAGCCATCTTGAAGTTTGTGGCCGGCTACTCCCTCCTGGCCTTGCTGTTTGTGCCCAAAGTGCCCACCTTCCCGATCCCATTCTTCGTGGCCTTTGCCCTCCTCTTTGCTGTTTTGGCCATATTCCTTGCCCTTGAGAGCTTAGTTGATGGCATTTACCTCCTCTTCTATGTAGCCTTGTGCATCGCTTTGGCTTCCAGCCCCCATGGCTTTTTTGACAGTGGCCCTCAAGGGGTTTCTGTAGCCATTTTTGTGGCCTCGGCCCTCATGGTTCTGGTTCAGCTTTATAACAGGAGGGCGAGTGTCCGCATCCCTCAGGGAGAGCGGCTGCTCAAGTCTCGGCTCTCGGGCCTCAGTACTTTCAAGTTCTGGGAAGGAGAGGCTTCCCATGCCCCATATTTGGGCTACTCCAAATATGCAGATGCAGAGGCCCTTGGCTATGCTGCCAGTGTATTGGCTTCCTTTGCCATCACAATGGCGGTCGAACGGACCTCCCCCCTGAGCACAGTGGTCATCCCTTGTGTGGTGGCAGCCGGAGGGGCTGTGAAACTCTTGTGTGCCTTTGTGGCCTTCTCTCGTGGCAAGACCTTGGAGAGTGGGATCTTCACCCTCTATGGCTGCTTTTGGGTCATCTGGGGCCTGGCCAGATATGGGGGGTTCTATGGCACAGCCCACGGTGACACCCAGGTCCCCATGACCCTTGTCTCCCTCCTGGTCCTCAATGCCTTCCTTGCCTGTGGGACACTTTTCCTGGCCCTCTCCTGGTTTGCTTTGGTCTTGGCCTTTGAGCTCATCATTCTCAGCTTTCTTCTGGATGCTTTGGGTGCCATCCCCACCGGGTATGACATTGCCGTCACCATCGTCTTTGGACTGGTCAGCTTCTATGGCTTCCTCTCAACAATGGTCAATGGCACCTTTGAACGGCCTCAGCTTCCCGTCGGAAGACCGATCCTGAAGCTTCGTGGCTTTGGAGGAGGAAGCCCCCAGTGTCCTCATCTTCCGGCCAGGAAGGCCTCTTCGGTCAAGCAAGTCGCAGGTCAGGACACAAGCCCCACATTTGGGCCTCTCTTTGTAATGTTACAAACATCAAACAACTATGCGTTGAATCTCCCTTATCCAAAATACTTAAGGCCAGAAGTGTTCCATTTTTCTTAATTTTGCGAAATTTTGAAATAGGCATCATGAGATATCTTGGAGATGGGACCCAAATCTAAACGTTATATTTATTTATCTTGGCTGTGAGATAAAAGCAGGATACATATACTAATTCTACTTCTTATATACCTTATACACAGAGCCTGAAGGTTGTTTTATACACAATGTTTTAAATAATTTGGTTCATAAGACAAATTTTGTGTACCATTAGAGAGCAAACTCTCAGCTACCCAAGTGCACAATTTAGGATTTTGGAGCATTTCAAATAGGAGGTTTCTGGATAAGGGATGCTCAGTCTTTACTGGGGATTGTCTTAAAACAGTGGTTCTCAACTTTCCTAATGCTGCGACCCCTTAATACAGTTCCTCATGTGGTGGCGACCCCCAACCATAACATTATTTTTGTTGCTATTTCAGAACTGTAATTTTGCTACTGTTATGAATCGTAATGTAAATTTGAAATAGATATCATGAGATATCTTGGAGAGAGGACCCAAATCTAAATATAATATTTATTTATCTTTGCTGTGAGATAAAAGCAGGATACATATGCTACTTCTACTACTACTTATATACCTTATACACAGAGCCCGAAGGTAGTTTATACACAATATTTTAAATAATTTGGTTCCTAAGACAAATCTTGTGTACCATTAGAGAGCAAACTCTCAGCTACCCAAGTGGACAATTTAGGATTTTGGAGCATTTCAAACAGGAGGTTTCTGGATAAGGGATGCTCAGTCTTTACTGGGGGTTGTCTTAAAACAGTGGTTCCCAACCTTCCTAATGCCAGGATCCCTTAATACAGTTCCTCATGTTGTGGCGATCCCCAATCATAACATTATTTTCGTTGCTACTTCATAACTGTAATTCTGCTACTGTTATGAATCATAATGTAAATATCTAATATGCAGGATATATTTTTATTCACTGGACTAAATTTGGCACAAATACCCGATATGCCCTAATTTGAATACTGGTGGGGTTGGGGGGAATTGATTTTGTCATTTGGGAGTTGTAGTTGCTGGGATTTATAGTTCACCTACAATCAAAGAGCATTCCGAAGCCCACCAAAGATGGAATTGAACCAAACCTGACAACAGAATTTCCATGATGAACAGAAAATACTGCTTCTTGGCAGGGGGTTGGACTGGATGGCCCATGAGGTCTCTTCCAACTCTATGATTCTAAGGGTTTGGTGGGCATTGACCTTGAGTTTGGGAGTTGTAGTTCACCTACATCCAGAGAGCACTGTGGACTCAAACAATGATGGATCTGGACCAAACTTGGCACCAATACTCAATCTGCCCAAATGTGAACACTGCTGGAGTCTGGGGAAGATAGACCTTGATGTTAGGGAGTTGTCGTTGCTGTGATTTATAGTTCACCTTCAGTCAAAGAGCATTCTGAAACCCACTGACAATAGAATTGGGCCAAACTTCCCACAAAGAACCTCCATGCCTTGAAGGGACTTGCTGGTGTGAGCCTCCCTCCAGCCTCACATGCTCTCCCTTCCCACTATCTGCACCACTCTGCCATGCGCCACGCTTGCCTACTCTCCCCTCCTCACTTGGAGTCTCATAAACAGCCCTCCCCTTGGCTCAGAGGCCTGCCAATCACAGCAGAGGAGGGCTTTTGGTGGGAGGATTCGCCGTCTGTTTCCAGAAAGGAAGAGAAGAGCAGGTACAGACATCTTCAGCCTTCTCTGTCAAAAGGGTCCTAAGACCATCAGAAATATATGTTTTCTGATAGTATTTGGCAACCCCTCTGAAAGCCCCTCGTGCCCCCCCCCCCCAGGTTGAGAAATGCTGGTTTAGACAGATTTAAACAAAACTTACAAACATATAAAACAAAACCAAAAAACAGAACGTCAACAACAAAAGAATAAAATACTTTTCCCAAAACAATCCTATTGCATCCTGAACAATAAAAAACCCCAATCACTATAATAATTTTTATTTTTATTGCCAAGATGTATTCAGAGGAAATTTGTCACCATTGCCTTCCTCTGAGGCTGAAGTTCCCCAAATGGGATGGAAGCTCAATCCTTCCTCTAGCCCAATGCTCAATCTTCTACTCCACACTTGCTCTTGATTTCCATGATCACATTGCAGAACGTGAGCTTTAGACATGCCAGGCGAGTTTTTTGGCAATGCTTAGATTAGAAAATCCAGCAAAAGCCAAGGGACCCCACCAGTGTGGTTCTGGGAACCTGCCTTCTCACCCCATCTTCTCCTTACAGAAATCATGAAGCAAGGTGGGGCCTGTGGGATCCCCACGGACACTGTCTATGTCCTTGCAGCCGCCTGCAACCGGCCGGATGCTGTGGAGAAGGCTTACAAGTAAGGACTCACGATGTCGACACAGCTGGGTTACTGCAGAGACAAAGCAAGGCTGGGAAAGCCAATGGTTGGGAATATTATGAGCCGTAATGTAAGATAAACCACATGTAGTTCAGGTTTGATCAGCCCACACACTGCCTTGCTGGAGAAAGAAAATATGCCATGCAGTTCATTACTGTTTACCTTTGTAGTTCAGAACAACATATGTACAATGTGATCAGTTGTATCAACTCACATAACATCCTTTTATGAGAGATTTTAAATGGTCTTTCTTTGTCCATCAGCAGCTCATGAAGCGAGAGCACACTCCACGCTCTGCCTCTCTTTGTCCCTCTCTGCATCTGCATAGCTCAAGCCTGAAAAATATAACAAGGTGCAGGTGCTTACCTACAAAGCCCTAAACGGTTTGGGACCCACCTACCTGCGTGACCGCATTTCCGTATACGAACCCACACGATCCCTTCGTTCATCTGGTGAGGCCCTGCTCACGATCCCACCAGCATCGCAAGCACGATTGGTGGGGACGAGGGACAGGGCCTTTTCGGTGGTGGCCCCACAACTCTGGAATTCCCTCCCCAAGGACATCAGGCACTCCCCAACACTGGCAGTCTTCAGAAGGAGCTTGAAAACATGGATGTTCCAGTGTGCCTTCCCAGATTAAGGAATCCCAAGCAATATGTCCCAAATGCACTTTACGAGAGAGTTAGAATATCTGCATACCCACTTATCCCTAAAATATCCATCCTATTTCACCTGGACATGCCCAGCATTTTTTAAAATTTTAACCATTACATTTGGCCCTGCCACAGGTTTTTAACAGTGTCGTGCTTTTGTTATTGCTTTTATGAGTTATTTATTGTTGTTTTGTTGTTGTTATGTTTTATGATATGTTTGGCTCGGCCTCTTGTAAGCCGCACCGAGTCCTGCGGGAGATGGTAGCGGGGTATAAATAAAGGATTTATTATTATTATTATTATTATTATTATTATTATTATTATTTATTAACTCAAAGTCCAGGAGCCATCTCCTCGGGCATTGCCTGACCAATCAGCTTCATGCATCTTATTTTACAGTTGAAGCACTGTTGGGGATTCCTCATCTTCGGAAGAGGAAGAGGAGCAGGGAAGTGCTCAGGAATTGGAGGGAGAAGAAGAATCAGACAATGAGGGTTTGAAAGTGCCCACATTTCTAGAGAGACAAAAAGAGACAGAGCACAGATGGTGTTCAACCAGAATAGCTGCTAAAAACGCTGAGCTAATTGGGAGACGCCCTAGCACCTCCTGCGTGGGGAATTCAGGGCTATAAATCAGAGGCAGGAGTAGTCCGCTTTTGCTGGTAACAACGATCCTGATACTGAAGTTTTCACACCAATGGAATCTACTTTGTGTTTGCTGCTAAGGACTTAGTTCATTGCCCGTTGTCTAATGAAAGACTGGTGTTTCATTAGGGACGTTGTAAGAGACTTTAATTTGTGTCTGGATTAAGACTTCCTTGCTTCCTTTTGCATTTTTCAATTGCATTTGCTTATCCTTTGTGTTTGCTGAAGTAAAGCATTTTTCTTTTACTTTCAACGTTATCTAAAGGCTGTTTTTGAAGGGCAACTCAGGGCACACACACACATTAACTTATTCCCTGTATGCTCCAACAGATTAGTTGGTTGGTGGGTTGGTTTCGCAGACGCATTGGGAGACACCTTGGCATAGTCTCCTCATTGACTGTGTGTTGCATCGCCGCGGTGTCTTCCATTCTGCATCTTCTATGTGGGTTGACCCTTTCCTTGCCTTTCCCCCCAGCACTAAGCGCCAAGCTGAGGACCGTCCCATGTCCCTCTGGATTTCGAACCTGAAGCAACTGGAGCCGGTCCAGCACCTCTTCAGCCCCATCCTCTGGGACTTCATGGAGACTGCCTGGCCCTCGCCCATCAGCCTGGTGATCCCTCGAGGTCAGAGAGAGAGTCAAAGAGGGCCTTCCTTGGTGCTCTCTGGTCACGCTTCTCTTTGAGAGGTTGCTCCAGGCCTTCCCTGGGAGAGGATGCAGACCAGGAACTGGCCAACTCTCACCTCCTTTTTCCCGATTTAGGAGAATGGCTGGACTACCTGGGCTTGAAGGACTCCGCCAAGTACGTTGGCACTCCTCAGAGCATTGCCATCCGCATCCCAGATTGCTCCGTCACCACCCACCTTATTGACTTGGTGAGCAGGACCCCGGTCTTCTCTTTGCGGCTCTCTATCAAGGAGAGTTGTTTGTTGTATTGTCGAAGGCTTTCATGGCCGGAATCACTGGGTTGTTGTAGGTTTTTCCAGGCTATATGGCCATGTTCTAGAGGCATTTCTCCTGACGTTTTGCCTGAATCTATGGCAAGCATCCTCAGAGGTAGTGAGGTTTGTTGGAAGTAGGAAAAATGGGTTTATAGCCCAACTGACAAAAGTCCTTTGTCTCACCCTGGTCATTCCACAGATATATAAACCCCTTTTCCTACTTCCAACAGACCTCACTACCTCTGAGGATGCTTGCCATAGATGCAGGCGAAACGTCAGGAGAAAATGCCTCTAGAACATGGCCATATAGCCCGGAAAAACCTACAACAACCCAGTTTGGAAGTAATGAAGCACAGAAATAACTAGTTACCTGTAACCACTGGAAAGGGAATGGATTCTCCCAACCATTGCATGTTATTATCAGAAATCCCTGTTGTAATTCAAGGTATTTAGAGATGGCTCTGCTTTGAACAGATAAGAGCCACTCACTATGCAAAATATCTGCTCCAAGTGGAGAGGAAAATGGCTAGAAATGTTGTACCTGCATATAGATCTAGATCAGGTATGGGCAAACTTCAGCCTCCAGGTATTTTGGACTTCAACTCCCACAATTCCTAACAGCTGGAAAGCTGGCTGGTATTTCTGGGAGATGAAGTCCAAAACATCTGGAGGGTAGAACTTTGTCTATGCCTGCTCTAGATCTATGTAGAAAGATCTGGCTTTTTGGAAGGTTCTCTGTGCGCTAGACTGTTGCTCTGGAGATGTTCTGCATGCCCAAATGTTCTACTTCACCTCTGCTAACATTGGCCCTTTCTCTTTCTGTCCTGCTCTCTAGGTCGGTCCGATTACGGTCACGTCTGCCAATCCCACCGGAGAAGCGGACACCACCCACCACAACCAGGTGTTTGCCAAGCTGGGCAATAAGGTAAGCTTCACAATGCATTTAAGTAAAATCACAATGTAATACAGTATAATACTACTAATAATAATATGGTATTATAATTATACATTTTATATTACATTAAAACATAACCAACAATAGAATCATAGAATCATAGAGTTGGAAGAGACCTCATGGGCCATCCAGTCCAACCCCCTGCCAAGAAGCAGGAATATTGCATTCAAAGCACCCCTGACAGATGGCCATTCAGCCTCTGTTTAAAAGCTTCCAAAGAAGGAGCCTCCACCACACTCCGGGGCAGAGAGTTCCACTGCTGAACGGCTCTCACAGTCAGGAAGTTCTTCCTCATGTTCAGATGGAATCTCCTTTCTTGTAGTTTGAAGCCATTGTTCCGTGTCCTAGTCTCCAGGGAAGCAGAAAACAAGCTTGCTCCCCCCTCCCTGTGACTTCCTCTCACATATTTATACATGGCTATCATATCTCCTCTCAGCTTCTCTTCTTCAGGCTAAACATGCCCAGCTCCTTTAAGCCGCTCCTCATAGGGCTTGTTCTCCAGACCCTTGATCATTTTAGTCGCCCTCCTTGGACACATTCCAGCTTGTCAATATCTCTCTTGAATTGTGGTGCCCAGGATTGGACACAATATTCCAGGTGTGGTCTAACCAAAGCAGAATAGAGGGGTAGCATGACTTCCCTAGATCTAGACACTATGCTCCTATTGATGCAGGCCAAAATCCCATTGGCTTTTTTTGCCGCCACATCACATTGTTGGCTCATGTTAACTTGTTGCCCACGAGGATGCCCAAGATCTTTTCCACATGTACTGCTGTCAAGCCAGGCATCGTCCCCCATTCTGTATCTTTGCATTTCATTTTTTTCTGCCTAGAAGAATCATAGAATATAATAAATAATAATAATAATAATAATCAACTTTATTTATACCCCGCCACCATCTCGGAGTGGCTTACATGAGGCCAAGCCTGGACAAGATATTACAGCAAAATAAAACCAAAGCATAAACAACAAAACAACATCATCAAAATTACAAAAAAAACCTCCCCAAAAAACAAAAACACAAAGTCATAATTGTATAGTACAATATAGTGATGCATAGCGCTGATATTGTACTGTGCTCATGGTATAATATATTGTGTGTGTGTATATGTGTGTGTGTGTGTGTGTGTGTGTATATATATTGTAAGAAGCTCTGAGTACCCTTCGGGATGAGAAGGGTGGCATACAAATGTCGCCAATAAAAGTAATTAATTAATTAATTAATTAATTAACTCCAGCTCTAGGCTACATTCAAATGAGCTCTCCATGGTGCTGAAACTGTTTTGCAGGAAAGAATTCAGCACCTTGGAGAGCTGAGCTGGTTGGACTGAACCGTGGAATGGATTCCTTGGCACACTGGCACAGAAGCTGCTAGCTAGTCTCACTGGGCTACCCTTAAATGGTGACCCATAAAAGGTTGTGGGGAGATGAGCCTCTCTTCTTGCATAGGCCTGGAGAAGCTGCCACAACAAGCAATCCAGAGGTCAAGACGCTGAGAAACTGATCTGTAGCCAAAACTACAACAACAACAACAAAAACAGCAGGCAATGGGAATAGCGGAAACCCCCTGGTCACCATCCTGTGCTCTTTCTTCTGCAGGTGGATGCTGTCCTATGCGGGGGCCCTTCTCCAGAGAACATTGCCTCCACAGTGGTGGACTGCACCAAGCTCGAGAGCGGGAATATTGGGTTCTTCCGAGTTGGCATTGTCCCCAAAACCCAGGTTTGTCGCACTCCTTCCTGTTCTTTGGCCTTTCTTTGTCTAACCTTCAGGTCCCACCAAATATGGTACAGGAAGTGGCACACATTGACCATTTGCCCAAATGTTGGCTGGAATCTTTCTATGACTCAAACCCTCTGAGCCAATGGGATTTGTACAGTTCAGTGGCCAATTCAATGGGTTTCCTTTAGGTGGATTTTTGTAAGGATGCCCAGGATTTTGGGATGCAAAATAGCCAGGGCAACCAGAAATGACAAGTCTCTGTCATGGAAGAAGGAGGAGGAGGGGAAAAAATGGAGGAGAAGAGAGGAAAAGAGGAGGAGAAAAAGGAGAGGAAAAGAGGAGGAAAAGAGAGGAGGAAAAAAGAAGGAAGAGGAGGGGGAGGGGGAGGAGGAAATGAAGAAGAGAGGAAGAAGAGAGGAGGAAAAGAGGAAGAGAAAAGAGGGCAACAGAAGCCACAAGTCTCATCATGGAAGGAGGAGGAGAAGGAGAGAGAAAGAAAAAGAGGAGAAAAGAAGAAAGAGGAAGGGAGGAGGAAGAAGAGGAAGAGGAAAATAAGGAGGAGAAAAAGAGGAAGAGGAATAAGAGGAGGAAAAGAAGGAGGAGAAAAAGAGGAAGATGGGAAGGAGGAGGAGCAAAAGGAAGGAGAGAAGGAAAAGGAAGAGGAGGAAAGGAGGAGGAGAAGAAAAAGAGGAAGAGGAGGGAGAGGAATAAGTGGAGGAAAAAGAAGGGGAGGGGGAAGATGAGGAGGAGGAAAAGAAGGAGGAGAAAAAGAGGAAGAGGAGGAAGAGAAAGAGGAGAAAGAAGGAGGAGGAGAAAGAGGAAGAGGGAAGGAGGAGGAGCAAAAGGAAGGAGAGAAGGAAAAGAGAGAGGAAAAGGGAGAGGAAAAGAGAAGAGGAGGAAGAGGAAAAAGTGGAGGAAAAGAAGGGGAGGAGGAAGAAGAGGAGGAAAGAAGAGGAGAAAAAGAGAAGAGAGAAGGAAAGAGGAGGAAAAAGGAGAAGAGGAGAAAAAAGAGGAAGAGGGGGGAAAGGAAGAAGAGAAGAAAGAAGAGGAGGAAAAGGAGAGGAGCAACAGGAGGGCAACCAGAAGCCACAAGTCTCTGTCATGGAAGGAGAAGAGGAGAAGAAGAGGAGGAAAAGGAGGAGGAGGAGGAAAAGAGGGAGAGGAGGAAGGAGGAAAAATGGAGAAAGAAGGGGAGGAGGAAGAAGAGGAGAGGAAAAAAGAGGAGAAAAGAAGAAGGAGGAAGGGGAGAGAAGAGGAGGGAAGAAGGAGGAGGAGAAGAAGAGGAGGAAAAGGAGAGGGAGAGAGAAAAAGAGGGAGAGGGAGGAGAAAAAGGAGGAAAAGAAGGGGAGGAGGAAGAAGGGGAGGAGGAGGAAAAAAAGGAGGAGAAAAAGAAGAAGAGGAGGAAGAGGAATAAGAGGAGGGAAAGAAGGAGGAGGAGAAAAAGAGGACGAGGGGGAGGAGAAGGAGCAGCAGTAGCAGCGAAAACAGTGGACATTGCAGCGCCACCATCCCTCACATTAATAATGACTCCCACATCAACTAGAGAGTAAAGCCATTCTCCAAGGCACTGGGCTTAGTTGGGAATTGGGATCATCACCTTAGAGAACATCTTGAGTAAAATTGGTGTGATGTCCCTACTTGGTTGATATGGAGCCCCAGCCTCATGGCCTCCTAAAGAGGGAAGAACTTTGCCAACACCATCTTCTTCTTCCTCCCTCCATGACAAGAGGGAGAATGTGTGTGTGTGTGATTACATGTCTAAATCATCTGTATGACTGCTTTTATAAAACCAAGCAGACCTCTCAGGAAGGAAATAGTATGTTGAGATATCAACTTCCATTTCTCCATCTTCCTCTAAAAGCTTTGCCGCTGGCTCTTTCCATTTTGCTTCCCTCCTCAGGTCCTTCAGATCTTCGAAAAAGTGCAGAAGAAGCATCAGTTGGGTCCTGTGAACAATGGCACCACAGCAATGGAGGATAGCACTGAGGACCTGCAGAATGGCACCCATGCGCCAGGGGAGCCTCCCATGGAGACCGATGAAGCATGCCACCCGGAAGAGACAGGGCCTTCTTCCTGAGCAAAGCTGGTTGAGAGGGACCCGCCTTCAGACGGGCCCCAAAGCCATTGGTCGCAATGAAAGAGAGACTCCATCCTCGCTCTCTTTCCTTGTACATCAAATCCTCATGGTTTTGTTTTTGAGCATCAATGGTGTTCCCATAAAACAACTGGTGCCTTTGGAGCAGTGAATCCGCTGTGGGTTTTGATCCAAATTTGAAGCTGAAACCCACTTGCAAAGCTATGCAACCTTTGCAGGAGAGTCTTTCAATGCAAGAAGGGGAAGGCAGTTGTCCTCTTTTATTCTCCTTTTTAAATACTTTTAAATACTGGTGGTGCAGTGGGTTAAACCACTGAGCTGCTGAACTTGCTGACCAAAAGGTCAGCGGTTCAAATCCAGGGAGAAGGGTGAGCTCCCACCGTTAGCCCCAACTTCTGCCAACCTAGCAGTTTGTAAACATGCATATGTGAGTGGATCAATAGGTACCACTTCGGGGAAGGTAACGGCGCTCCATGCAGTCATGTGGCCACATGACCTTGGAGGTGTCTAAGGACAACGCTGGTTCTTCAGCTTAGAAATGGAGATGAGCACCACACCCCAGAGTAGGACTGGACTTAATACCAGGGGAAAACCTTTACCTTTACATTTACCTTTACCTTTACTTTTACCTTTACCTTAAGCACTTTTAAAGCACAGCTGCATTTCATAGGATAGCTTATTTATTAAGGTTTATTTTTTATATAAAACACCCTTTCCTCACTGTTTTTTAGATCTTTTCATGACCAACCTTAGAACTTATACTGGGTGAAAGGCGAGAGATAAATAAAGAGCAAATAAAACAAAATAAATGAAACAGTTGTGATTGATTCATGTGTCTCCGTCTGTATTATAAGACTATTGAACCAAAAGAGATGAAATAACCCAGGGTCATTTTGGGAGCAAAGCGTGGCCCAAATGCCACCTTTGATGGTGGCTATTCCAGAAATGTCAAAATTAAATGGAATGTCAGGATACATCATGTATCATCCATATAAATAAAAATGTAAATGTCCGTTTGTGAATGACCTCAAAACTCCCAAAATACTTCACCGATTGCTTCAAAATTTGGACACAATGTAGCATTCGAACAGGTGAATGTTTTTATGTATTCACATACCTACTATTATATAGATGCCACACCTGTGACAGGTAAAATATACTTGGCATCAAAAACAGCGCCATCTGCTGGATGTCCAAGCAACACATCATGAAGGGACCCCATCAGGGTTGGAACCACCATTAGGGATCAGCAGCCTGGTCGACCCCTACTGAGCCTTCCTGCCTGCCTCCCTCTGAGCAGAACTAAGAGAACAAGAGCGGGAAAAGGGCAATGGGGCAGATAAGGAAATCCAGGCTGAGGAGAGGGGTGGGACACAGGCCCAGAGGAGGGAGGGAAGGAGGCAGGCAAGGAGGCACCACCTCATGCCCTCACCTCCAGGAAGACTGGAGACTCAGAAGGAAATGGATTGAATTGTAGAAAGGGAGAGATAGTTAGGAGGGAAGAGAAGGAAAGGGTTTCCCCAAAACACACTGATCATAATTATATAGACCAGTATCATTGCTATTATTCTCATTTTTATTATTATTATTATTATTATTATTATTATTATTATTATTAATGGGTTGTTGTAGGTTTTTTCGGGCTATATGGCCATGGTCTAGAGGCATTCTCTCCTGACATTTCGCCTGCATCTATGGCAAGCATCCTCAGAGGTAGTGAGGTCACTACTTCACTACCTCTGAGGATGCTTGCCATAGATGCAGGTGAAACGTCAGGAGAAAATGCCTCTAGAACATGGCCATATAGCCCGAAAAAACCTACAACAACCCAGTGATTCCGGCCATGAAAACCTTCAACAATACAATAATAATAATAATAATAATAATAATAATAATAATAATAATAATAGAGTCATAGGCTTCTTGAGTTGGAAGGGACTCCAAGGAGCACCCAATCCAACTCTCTTTTGCAGGCAGGATGACACCATCCAATCCCTCCTGCCAGATGGCCATGCAGACTCTGCATCATCCTCATCATCATTGAATCATAGGCACCTAGAGTTGGAAGGGACCCCAAGGGCTATCTAGTCCTAACCAATTCTGCTAGGCAGGAACACCACAATCAAAGCCCTCCCAAAAGATGTCTATCTATGGCAAGCATCCTCAGAGGTAGTGAGGTCACTACTTCACTACCTCTGAGGATGCTTGCCATAGGTGCAGGTGAAACATCAGGAGAAAATGCCTCTAGAACATGCCTATATAGCCCCAAAAAACCTACAACAACCCAGTGATTCCCACCATGTCAGACTACACAGAGAAGCCATTGAATTCCACAAGCATGTGGACAATTTCAACAGAAAGGAGGAAACCATGAAAATGAACAAAATCTGGCTACCAGTATTAAAAAAACAACAACAACAGCACAAAACAACAGAGAGGAAACAATCTGGGACATCAAATCACCTCTCAACAAAAGATTCCCCCAGGCACTTCCAAGCCATTAAATGCTAATCAAGGTGGTCAGCTGAAACATTCACACCTAGCTCCAGCAGACAAAAGTCCTTTGTCTCACCCTGGTCATTCCACAGATATATAAACCCATTTTTCCTAGTTCCAACAGACCTCATTACCTCTGAGGATGCTTGCCATAGATGCAGGTGAAACGTCAGGAGAAAAATTGCCTCCAGAACATGGCCATATAGCCCGGAAAAACCTACAACAACCTACATTATTATTATTATTATTATTATTATTATTATTATTATTATTTCACAGACAATGGAACAACAAAAATATGACATTACATATATATCAAACCAGCTCTTTCTCTTTCTTTTCCATTTATCCAGACTAGGCACAGCAATGCGTGGCCGGGTACAGCTAATTTATTATTACTTACAGCTTTTATATTCCTCCCTTCTCACCCCGCAGGGGACTCAGGGCGGATTACAGTGTACACATATATGGCAAACATTCAATGCCAATTTTGACATACAACATATACAGACATACACAGAGGCTATTTAACTTTTTCTGGCCACCAGGGGAGCTGTTGCTTTCATCGTCCATCTGCGACACTGATGAAGTACTTCATTCCCCGCATGCTTTTGCTGGAGTCTTTTTTATGGCCTCGTAAATTAGTTAAATTAGCCTCCCCACACATAGGTGGTACCTAATTTTCCTACTTGACAGATGCAACTGTCTTTCGGGTTGCAAAGGTCGACAACAGGCTACACAATTGGTTGGAAGCCCACTCCAACCCGGGCTAATGTCATATATACGTGTGTAATATGGTATGTCTGTGTGAAGATATATAACAAATGCCACTGATTACTCAAATAAGGCATCATTCAAATGAACCCTACACAATGCCAACTATAAATAACAAAAGAAGTCGGATTTCCCCAAATCCAAACTGAAACGGAAAAGAAAAACATATTGTTTTGCCTTTACAGATCCAGGTCCATTAAACTAACTAGAATTTCTAGTAACCAATGCTAGAAAATAGATTTATTATTGCTCAAAAAGTAAATAAATGGTTTTGAATGTGTCCAAAACATTTTCAATGTCATGTGTCTGTCTCAGCCGTTCTTGGCTCTCACTGGCCATAGGAGGCTGGTCCTATAGGAAGAGAATGGGCTTCAGATAAGCAGTATAGGACTTTATAAGACATAAACAGCACTTGGAAATGTGGCCAGACATGGATTGGAAGCCGGATCTACTAAATAAAGGGTCCTGGATCCAACCCAGCCTGAACCTTTGCTAAACATTATAATGATTTAGCTAGGACCATGGTTAGAGAGCCCCCGGTAGCGCAGTGGGTTAAAGTGCTTAGCTGCTGAGCTTGTTGACCGAAAGGTCGCAGGTTTGATTCCGGGGAGCGGTGTGAGCTTCCGCTGTCAGCCCTAGCTTCTGCCAACCTAGCAGTTCGAAAACATGCAAATGTGAGTAGATCAATAGGTACCGCTCTGGCGGGAAGGTAAGGGCGCTCCATGCAGTCATGCTGGCCACATGACCTTGGAGGTGTCTATGGTAAGCGCCTGCAGGTATAGAAGCCACAAAGCACTTAAAGCAGTGTTTCTCAATCTTCCTAATGTTGCGACCCCTTAATACATTTCCTCATGTTGTGGTGACCCCCAACCATAACATTATTTTGCTACTTCATAACTGTAATTTTGCTCCTGTTATAAATTGTAATGCAATTATCTGATAAGCAGGATGTATTTCCATTCACTGGACCAAATTTGGCACAAATAAACGATATGCCCAAATTTGAATAGTGGTGAGGTTGGGGGTGGAGTTGATTGATTTATTTTTGTCATTTGGGAGTTGTAGTTGCTGGGATTTATAGTTCGCCTACAATCAAAGAGCATTCTGAACTCCCATTCTGAATTGACCCAAACTTGACACACAGAATGCCCATGGCCAGCAAAAAATAATGAAAGGGTTAGGTGAGCATTGGCCTTTTTGGAGTTGTAGTTCACCTACATCCAGAGAGCAATGCGGACCAAACAATGATGGATCTGGACCAAACTGACTGAATACTCAATATGCCCAAATGTGAACACTGGTGGAGTTTGGGGAACATAGACTTGACATTTGGGAGTTGTAGTTGCTGGGATTTATAGTTCACCTACAATCAAGAGCATTCTGAACCCCACCAACAAGAATTGGACCTAACTTCCCACACAGAACCCCCATGATCAGCAGAAAATACTGTGTTTTCTGATGGTCTTTGGCGACCCCTCTGACACTCCCTGGTGACCCCCGCAGGGGTCCTGACCCCCAGGTTGAGAACCACTGCCCCAGAGTCAGACATGACTGGACTTAATGTCAGGGGACAACCTTTACCATTATGGTTAGAGAGTCTGTGCCCAGTGAGGGTATGCTAAACCAACTAGGCCAGGATGGAGAAATCAACTCACCAGGTTAAAGACAAGCTACAGAAGTTTATTACAATTTGGCCAAAAAGGATGCAAGTACAAGCCATTTGCTTTAAAATGTACAAGCATGAACATGTAGAGAAATACAAGACATCTTATAAAGTTCTGACAGTAATTCAGACTTCCCGCTCCCTCCCCTGATTGGCTGGAAAAAAGGCAGGTTAGGA